GTGTCTACATGTTTTATGTATATGTTTGTTTGTTTGTTTGTTTGTTTTTGCCGTATGCGGGCCTCTCACTGTTGTGGCCTCTCCCGTTGCGGAGCACAGGCTCCAGATGCACAGGCTCAGCAGCCATGGCTCACGGGCCTAGCCGCTCCGCGGCATGTGGGATCTTCCCTGACCAGGGCACAAACCCGTGTCCCCTGCATCGGCAGGCGAACTCTCAACCACTGCGCCACCAGGGAAGCCCTATATGTTTTTATTTAAAAGCATATCACAGGGACTTCCCTGGTGGTCCACTGGTTAAGACTCTACGCTTCCACTGCAGGGGGCGCGGGTTCGACCCTGATCAGGGAACTAAGATCCCACATGCCCACTGTGCGGCCAAAATGAAAAAGTGTTCAAGTAAGAAAAACAAAAATTTTTTTTAATGTATCACAGAGTTCTTTTCATACCCACGTACACAGACCTGCCTCATCATTTTTAGGGCCACGTGATATTCCATTGCATGATTATCCAGGGTGACAATTTACATAAGCAATCCTCTACTAATGGATATTTAGGTTGGCCTTAGTTTTTCTCAAGTTAAAACAGTCTGCAGAGAATATCCTTATTAAAAACACTTTTGTATACTTAGAAGGATAGCCCTCAAGTAGTCTCCTAGAAGTACAATGCTCACGTCAAGAGGATGGGCATTTAAACATCCTCTTGACCTGAGAACAGATTGTAACCAAACTGCCCTCCAAGGTTGAATCGGTTTACATTCCCACCAACAATGTCATGGGTGCTTGCTTGTTCACACACATAGCAATTCTGGCAGTATTAAATTTTTTAAACATTTGCTGATCCGGTAGGTCAAGAATATTACATTGTGGTTTTGACTTGCATTTCTTAAATTATAAGTAAGGTAGAGCATCTTTTCATTTGCTTGTGGAATTTGTATTTGGTTTTCTGTGCATTGCCTACTTACCATTCTTTGCCTGTCTTTCTTTTGAGCTGTTGCCTTTTTCTGCTAGATATTTTTGCATTCCGTAAGTGTTAAGTTCCTACTACATGGTGAGCAGTATGCTGGGCACTAGAGCTCACCATTGTTGGTGAGGAAACACCACTGTCTTTGCCCTTTGGGAGCTTACAGTACTGGGACACAAACATTAACCAAGTCATGCTCTGCATGGGTGTATGTACAGACTGAGTTAAGTGCCTTGAAGGAAAGGCTCTTGCATCTCTTAGAGCATGTGAGAAGAGAGAGACCTGGACTGAGGGTAGGAGAAGATTACCTGAAGTAGCTGACATCTAAAGAACAAATAGGATTTGTGGTTAGGGAAAGCATTTCTGGAAGAAGGAACAGCATTTTGGAGGGAATGTGATGTATCAGATGAGCTAAAAGAAGGCCAGGGATCAGAGCACAGAGAGTAGAATAACAGTGACACAAGATGAGGCTGGACTACATCACCTGGGCCCTGACCCCATTGATGATTGAGGGGTTCTTCTCCTAGAGAAATAGAAAGTATTGAAGGATTTTGAGCCACAGTTTGTTATCAAATCTGCATTCTGAAAAGATCACTCTGGCTGAAAAGAAGGTAAACAGGAAGACCAGTCAGAAGGTTTTTGAGTTAGTCCATATGAAATCTGATGGTACCTTGGCCCTGGATTATGACAGTGGACATGAAGAGAAGTAGATGAGGGCTTCCCTAGTGGCGCAGTGGTTGAGAGTCTGCCTGCCGATGCAGGGGACACGGGTTCGTGCCCCGGTCCAGGAAGATCCCACATGCCACGGAGCGGCTACGCCCGTGAGCCATGGCCTCTGAGCCTGTGCGTCCGGAGCCTGTGCTCCGCAACGGGAGAGGCCACAACAGTGAGAGGCCCGCGTACTGCAAAAAAAAAAAAAAAGAGAGAGAAGTAGATGAGTTCAAGAAATATGGAGAAGGTCAAATAAAATTTGATGATGGATTGGATATAAGGGATAAGGAAGGGAGGAAGTGTCCAGGATGATTCCTAGGTTCCTAATTAGATGGATGGTGGTACCATTTACTGAAATAAGAACCACCATATGATCCAGCAGTTCTACTCCTGGGTATACATCAAAAAAAAACTAAAACATTAATTCAAAAAGATGTATGGACATAGCAGCACTATTAACAATATAGCCAAGATATGGAAGCAAACCAAGTACATATAAACATATAAATAAAAAAAAAAAATGTGATATATATATATATATATATATATATATATAAATATATTCCATTACATATATATATATAATATTACTCAGCCATAAAAAGAATGAAATTTGCAGCAACATGAATGGAGTTAGAGAATATTATGCTTAGTGTAATACGTAGGACAGAGAAAAACACTATATGATATCAGTTATATGTGGAGTCTAAAAAAATATATAAATGAATGTATATGCAAAACGGAAATGGACTCATAGACATAGAAAACAAACTAGAGGTTACCAAAGGGGAGAGGAAAGAGAGTATAATATGTAAAAATACTAAATCATTATGCCATAAACCTGAAATTAATATAATATTGTAAATAAACTATACTTCAGTTAAAAAAAGAAATACTGGAAGAGGTCAAGGATGAATTCAGGCTTACACAACACATCTGAGTGAAGCTGTCAAATAGCTAATTAGATATAAAAGTCTGGGACCAGGGAGTTCCCTCGTGGTCCAGTGGTTAGGACTCCACACTCTCACTGCTGAGGGCCTGGGTTCAATCCCTGGTCAGGGAACTAAAATCCCATAAGCCTGGGACCAGAGGAGAAGTCTGGATTGGAGACATAAATATGGAAGTCACTGGAGTATAGTAATTAAAGCCATGGGCAAAGATGCAATCACCCATGAAAGGAGTACAGCACCCAAATCAGCTCTACTCTGAAGCCTTAAGGAACACTAACATTTAATGGCCAAGGAGAGGAAGATGAGACAAAAAAAGAAAGAACAGGTGAGCAGCCCGAGAGCAGGAGGAAAACCAGCTGAGTGAGGTGTCCCAGAAACCAGTGAAAGAAGGTTTCAAATAGAATGGAGCAGCCAGTAGTGCCAAATGCTGCTGAGACATCTAATAAGAGGAAGGCTGGAAAATGCCCATTGGAATGGGCAACATGGAGGTCCTGGTGACGTTCATTTGAATTGTTACAGTGAAATAATGGGGGCAGGAGTCAGACTGGAGATGATTGAGAAATGAATGGGAAGTGAAAACACGGAGACACCATATGGACCACTCTCAAGAAGTGTGGTTTTGAGAGAAAACAGCCCCAAACCGATTCATCCTCGGTCTCTACTCTTGACCCTTCCTTGCCACTCAGTAAGCTGAAGTGATTTTCTAATTCGGTATTTGATGTTCCACAGCTGTGGTCTCCCAGGAGCCATGGCAACAAGCCAGCCAGGGATAGAGTCTGCAGGGGAGGCCACCTCAACCTTGGGGGCTCTTCCACCTCTCAGAGCAGCTTCTGACTCTGCAGGCCTGGGAAGGCCCATTGTAGAAAACGCTGCTGAAACTGGCTTTAAGAAACAAAGAGTCCTTATATTTTAGAGACACCTACTGAAAAATGTAAGGATAAATAGTGTCTGGGATTTGCAAAGTGAAAAAAGCTAAGCCAGGAGTTGATAATTATTGAAGCTGGGTGATGGGATGGGTACATGGAGGTTTATTATACCATTCTCACTACTTTCGTTTATGTGTAAATTTTTTTCAAAATACATTGTAAAAAAATTAAGTTTAGTAACTATGTAAACTGAAAGTACACAGAGCCAGTGACTGTCACAGGCCCACTGTTGACCATGCCACTTAAAATGGGATCTCCTTTAAATCCAATTTGCCATTCGCTTGTGGGTTTCAAGGTACCAAATGTCTAAGGGAGTCAAGTCTGCTCTCAGATGCTGCCCTTTCTTCTCTCAATAACTCTAACACCTTGTTCCTTGCCCCTCTTCTCCATTCTTACCTCCCTCCTGAGTCCACTGTTATTGGACTCCAAATAGCAGTTCTGTCACTTGTCTTCATGAACTTGAACAACTTCCTTCTCAGACTTGAACCACGTTCTGAAAGATGAGGATGCACATCCACTTAGCAATGTTGTGAAGATTAATTCTGACAGTGTATGTGGGAGTAGGTACATAGCTACACCCTCAAAAGTCCACAGAAGTCAGATAATACAAATGAATGAAGATGACCAAGTAGGAGAAAGTCCTGTGACCCTTTTAGCCTGTCTTTAGCTTTGCCACTTTTAGTAGACATACCAGTAGGAAGAATTTTAAGAAAATTTCTATTCTATAAGGAAAATATTAATTCAGCATGATCATAAATGGAATAAATAATCTATATTCATAAATAAATGGGTAATAAACTGAGACTTAGCCTCAGTGTTGGGGATCACTAGGGAGCGGTGGGGAGTAGGGCAAGCCAGAGCACGCAGGCCCCGTCTAACAGAGGCAGTCCTCCTCAGCTCCATGACTGCTGCTGTGAGAGAATGTGGAGCCAAGGTTAACATGTCTTCTTGTTTTACAAGAGAAGCTAGAACTCTAAAATTTTTATGTGAAATCTCCCAATTCTTAAATTTGGTTTCAATTATTTACAAAAAAAGAACACTACAATGGCTAAACTAATTCCACTTGTGGACCAAAAGCAGTTCATGAGCTGCCAGTGTGCAACCTCTCACCTAGATAATGGGATAGAACACAGTTTCCCTTCCCCGCCCCCTTATCTTCCACCCCTAACTTTCTCCTTTCTCTCATTTTCCACATTCCTCTCTCCTAACCACTCCCACCCTTCCTTTCTAGACTAAGTCCAAGTGGTAGAAGGGATTGAAGTGGGTTGAAGAAGTGATGAAGCCCGAAGGGCTGTGATCTAGATGCCTCATCCTGTTCCAGGGCCTAGGCCAGTGCCCTGCACATAGTCGATCATAATGACAAACCTGATGAATGAATAAGCCAGCAAGTAGGGGGCAGTCAGTTTCTTGTGCACACCTGGGCTTACCTGAGGACTCTCATTTTTCTCAACAGCCTTGCGAAGTCGTTCTGGCCGCTCCATCATCAACGGGAACTGGGCAATTGACCGGCCTGGAAAATATGAAGGAGGAGGGACCATGTTCACATACAAGCGACCAAATGAGATTTCGAGCACTGCCGGAGAGTCCTTTTTGGCCGAAGGTCCCACTAATGAGATCTTGGATGTCTATGTGAGTTTGAACTCTTGCCTGGATTTTGTATCTTCTTGCTTCTCAGGACCACACCTAGAACAAATAAACAACAAGTATTGCCCTTGCTCAATAAGACCATTTGAGCGGCGCCTTTTGGGGTGCCCTTACATGCTTGGCATTCCTCTCTGCCCCTCACCTCCGAATGTACCTAGCTCATAGAAACCTTAAACTCTCCCAGATGCTTATTACCCTCAGCGTTTATTGAGCCAGTAAAACCAATTTTACTTGTTGAACCAAATCAGAGGCAAAACATATCCTTTATTTCATGAGCATTGGCTCTCCTCCAGTCACTTTGCTCCTAAGCTAATTTGGCGTGTTTTCTTTTTATGGCAAAAGAAAGCAAATGCCTAAAGCAAGACGAGACCACTCACAGTTCCCAGCCCTCTTCAAATTCTATTAAAGCAAGTGAAGAAACAAGAACTCCAGAGTACTCCAGATGACACAATAAAGCTTGGAGTAACAATATAGAGATTTACGAGTCATTCCCTGCTTCGCAGAAGACAGAACTTTGATTTCTTTGACAAGAGACTAAAGTATTAAGTTGCCCCAGAGTTAAAAATGATCCTTATTTTTTTAAAGAAACCACTAGAATCCAATCTTCTTAAAAAGATCAGGAAATAAAAGGGGACCGGAAATAAAAGCTCAAAATCACGTTTTGGTAAAAAAGAATGCGCTCACCCATAGATATATATTCTCTCACCATCTCCAAAGCCATGCTGGTCTACTTGATATTTGCCGAGTTCGAATTTTATAAATATTACTTGTCTAACTATACAGTTACATGTTCATTCCCTTTGGGCCTAGTGGCTCATGGACTAGAAACTACAAAGGAAGTCTTGTTATAGCTCATTCTGAATATTTTTTTATAGACTGTCCAGCTGGTGTTGGTCTCCGGGTAAGTTTCGAATGGCATTAGGGGTAAAAACTCAGGTTGTTAAAGGCCCACTATGGGTGGTCTGGGTTGTGGTGGCCAGTAATAATTTCATAAATGGGACAAGGTTTGCACTGGCAGAATGTTCACACAGAAGAGGCACAGTAGAGGGGGGAAGGCTTTCCGGCCCCAGAATGACTGTTGGATTGTGTGAAAAGAGAAGTGAGGGGATTAGGAGTAGACAGCAAGTACCTGTGGTCACACCACCGTGTCCCTCAGGGGTTCTCTGCTCCCCACCATGGTTCCTGGATGTAGGGGGCCCAGGGGTTCTCATGTCCGCCTTCTGTTGGGTGATTTCTAGACGGGAGGCCACGTTTCACACGTAGGGAGGGGGTAAAGGCTGATGGTGTAACTGGGTGGAATAGACACCCTCATGGACCAAACAGGACCCACCCACGCAGGAGTGACTCAGAGAATGCCTGTAGCTAACAGGACCTCAGAGATCAACTGGATTCTCACCTCCTGCTTCTCCAGATGAAGAAATCGAAAAACATGAGATTGAGGGACTTGCTCTAGGTGACCCACCGGGTAAACAGGAGAACCCCTTCGTAAAGCAGTAGAGACAGAAGTATCACAGCGTGACCTGTCTCCTTGCCTGGCTCGTATTTTCACCGCAGATTTGCATTCCGCGGCTCCATTTAGCCCACCACCCTGCTTCCCTCCAGGAAAGCCATGAGCACAAAGGATTTTCTGCTCCAAAGCCAATAGGGAGGGATTTATTCTGCTGAGCCACGCTGGTTTGTTTTGTGTTCTTGTCCCAGACAATGTTTAATTGCTGACTTCCACAGCTCTATGCAGCTTTTGTCATGGGTCCCTGAGAGAATAGGACCCAAGGAGACTTATTGCCCTTATACCTGTTTTCCTCACCTCATCTCTCTGTGGTTCTGGAACTTTCCATGGATGAGAGGGGATGGGACCCAGAGAGTCAATGAGGGAGAGGGTTGGGTCAGACCCTTCCTGAGCCAGCATCCCGGGCCAGGTAGAGGACTTGGGAGGAACCTAGGGGATCTAGGGACGACGCTGCCAGAGGTCTGGCCCTTCCTTACATGACTCTGTCTCGCCACCTAGTGTTCAAACGGGTTCTCTGTAGTGTAAACTTAAGTGTCTATTTTGGATATTTTGAGGGCCATGAGAAAAATCTAAGCAATGGTAGAGGATGGTTGGGAGCCAACAGAAAGGTTCCCTACCATTGCTCCCATCTTCCTGTTTAAAATTTATAAAATCTTGACTTTCAACTTAGTTTTCTTCTTATTCTCTCAAAGACTACGTTCTTCATTCTTCAAAAGCAGATAGCAAAAAGCCATCTGGAAATAGCTTTCGTTTAGTGTGTCACCAGTCCGCTAATATTATTAGATGTAAATCAGTCCACTCACTTATAGTTAGGGCCACTTACACCATTGAGCCCAAAGCCAGCAGGGAGGGGATATGCCTGTGTGCCAGTGCAGTGACATTGACCTTTGTGTTGTCAGATGATACACCAGCAGCCTAACCCAGGGGTCCACTACGAGTACGTAATCATGGGGAACAATGCCATCAGCCCACAGGTGCTGCCTCACAGGAGACCAGGTAAAATTTCTGGTTTTGCTGCCGGTCACTCCGGATCATTTCCTTTTAACGCCCTTTCTCTCTTCTTCTTGTGTATCTGCCCTCTGTCTCTCGGTCAACACAGAGAAAACCCATGGACACATATTTCAGAGTCAGTGGGCCTTGATATCAGAGGATGCCTCACCATTTGCCTGAGCCTTCACTGATAAGAGTGCCTCATTCACTTGATTCAAAAATGAAGTGAACATTCTCAGTCTGTTTTTCCAGTTCAACATTTTGAAATGTCTTTTATATTAGTTTCCTATCACTGCTCTAACAAATGACCTTAAACTCAGGAGCATAAAGTAACACAAATTTACTGTCTTATAGTTCCGGAGGTCAGAAGTGCAAAATGGGTTTTGCTGGGCAGGAATCACGGGGTTGGCAGGCTGTGCTCCCTGTGCAGGCTCTGGGAAAGAATCAGTTTCCTTACCTTTTTCAGCAGAGGCCACCTGCGTTTCTTGGTTCATGGCCCCTTCCTCTGTCTTCAAAGTCAGCTGAATAGCACCTTCAAATCTCTCTCTGCCTCTGACCCTCTTCTTCTGTCATCTCTCCTTCTCTGACCGTCGCCCTCCTGCCTCTTTCTTATAAGGACCCTTCCGATTACATTGAGCTCAGCCAGATAATTCAGGATAATCTCTCCATCTCAAAATCCAGGATAACTTAATCACATCTGCAAAATCCCTTTTGCAGTATAAAATAACACATCCCAGGTTCCAGATATTAGGACACAGGCATCTTCAGAGGGCCGTTATTCTGTCCACCACATGCCTTTTCTCTTGGTCCCCTTCTGCTTCTGCTAACACAGCTTTCACCTGTAAGAAAAGAAAAATGAATTCACACCTAACAATCCACCTCTTCCCTGTGGGCTCTGCTGACAGAGCCAGCAGCTTTGCTTGCCTCTGCTGGGTATAGCACAGCCCCTCGCTGATATTTCTTTACCGAATGGTGATGGAGCCCACCACCCAAATGGAGACTGTCTTTTCCATCTTTCAGACAGAAGGGCCTGCAGAAATATTAATACTAATCGCTAATAATCACTCACACGCAGAGTCCTCGCTATGTGCCAGACACTGCTGGGCCCTTCACATAGACTAACTCATCAAATTCTCACAACTATGCTCAGAGGGAGGTACTGTTATTAGCCCCATTTTAAGAGTAAGAAAATGGAAGCTTAGAGAGATTGAGTTACTTGCCCATGTCCCGCAATGACCTCAGGTCAGCCTGGGTCACTAGCCCCTGTGCTTATTACACTGCCTACAGGTGACCTGGTCCAATACCTGTCCTAGGAAGTGAGGGGACAGATGTGAGACCTGGCCATACATCCTTCTCTGGGCTGCCGATTGGATGACCAGGTTATCTGATTGTTACAGGTCAGGGAGGAGCCACCTGGCACGTGGGGTGCACGTGTTGTCCAAACTCCAAGTCAGCACACTCAGCCTGAAAGAATTTTTAAGCCATTTCCAGGAGCAATATACAGTCTGAGAAACCAAGTTCAGATGGGGAAATATTGAGATTACTGATGCTGATTTATAAGGACAATTGGACAGACTGTTTGAAATCATATAGGGTGATGATGAGGGATAACAAGCCTAATGGGTAGCATGTGGTTCTGGGATCAGCTGCCGGGGACAGGGCAGGCCAGAAGGGGTCAGCTGTAAAAAGTCAGTGAGGAGAGGCAGTCTGGACCAGGCTTCATCCACCGTATCAGTGGAGTCAGGAGGCCAGAGCTTGAATTCAATTCTGCCACTTTCTTGCTGTGCACCCTCAGGCAAGTCAGTAACTTCTCTGAACACATTCACAGTCTACAAAATAGAGAGGGAAAAAATTCACTCAAAGGTTTTATTTGAGAGGGGGATGGTATTGAATAAATTAGGTGTCCATCCTAGCACAGTGCCCAGTACATATAAGGTACATAAAAGATTTTTAAATGTTTTATCTGATAACATCTTGGACAGTTTCATGTATATCAGTATGCTGGTCTTGATTCTATTAGTTTAATTTGCATATAATATTTTAAACCATGAAGTATTATAAGTAGCCAACTAAATAAGAAAGTGCTGCTGAAAGAGTAGAGAAAGCTCTAAGTTTTAACTGCATTTTATAGTAACCTTAGAATTTGCCTCCTTATTTTATATTAAACTAATGAATGCTTGAACACTATTCAATCAAAACGGAAATACGTAAAGTAAAATGCAACTGCTCCATAACTGCCAAAACTTAGAAGCATCCAAGATGTCTTTCAGTAGGTAAATTTGGATAAAGGAACTGTGGTATATCCAGGCAATGGAATATTATCCAGTGTTAAAAAGAAATGAGCTATCAAGCCATGAAAGGACACGTAGGAATCTTAACTGCATATTACTAAGTGAAAGAAGCCAATCTGAAAAGTCTCCATATTGTATGATTCCAAGTATGTATGTACGGTATTCTGGAAGAGACAAAACTATGGAGACATTAAACAGATCGGTGGTTACCAGGGATTAGAGGGGAGGGAGGGATGAATAGGCAGAGCACAGAGGATTTTAGGGCAGTGAAACTATTCTGTGTGATACTACAATGGTCGATAGATGTCACACATTTGTCAAAACCCACAGAACGTACAACAGCAAGAGTGAACCCTACTGTAAACTATGGACATTGGATGATAAGGATGTGTCAGTGTAGGCTCATCCCACTCTGGTGTGGGATGTTGATGGTGGAGGCTGTGCATGTGTGGGGCAGGAGAGATACGGGAACTTTCTAGACTTGCCACTTGATTTTGCTGCGAACCTAAACTGCTCTAATTAATATATGCATTTTATATTATATATATATGTCTATTTTTAAAAAAAAGCAGTATTCCCAACCTCAGCCCTCTCCCAGCTTCCCAGAGGGAATCTCTCTTTACAATTTGGTGGGACCCTACCCAGCCCTTTCCGTGCATATACAAACATGCATGTGGCCAGTTTCAATATTTGTCTACAATCTAAGTGTGCCAGGAACATCACATGCCAGTCTTTTCCATAAGCCAACATAAATCTAACCTCAATTTGAAACTTCTCTGAAACTGGTAGAATAACTCAATCTCAGTCAATCTGGCGGCTCCCACACACGCCCCAGATAGAGGAAAGATACCTGTCTGGCAGGTCTGTGGTGCTCAGGAAACCCAAGACCTCAAACACCTGCCACTCCTCACTTTGGAGATCTCTCTCTCTCTGTCTCTCTGTCTCTGAGAAAGCGCCCTCTCCACTTTTCCCTCCTCCTTTCCCTGGGCTGGCCCCTCTGGGACCTGTTATCCTAACTGGGAGCTCAGGCTTTCTTTGTGGGAAGGAAGAGCTGTTAACTTCCTGCACCTTTCACTTTCACTCCTGCAAAAATCTCAGACAAGAAAATCTAAGAACTTGGCCACTTGGACTAGGAGAGGAGGAGGAACAGAGATAAAGAACAAAACACAAATTAATCTCTCAAGGGCTTCCCTGGTGGTCCAGTGGTTAAAACTCTGCTCTTCTGGGCTTCCCTGGTGGTGCAGTGGTTGGGAGTCCGCCTGCCAATGCAGGGGACACGGGTTCGTGCCCCGGTCTGGGAAGATCCCACATGCCGCGGAGCGGCTGGGCCCGTGAGCCATGGCCGCTGAGCCTGCGCGTCCGGAGCTTCTAATGCAGGGAGCATTTGATCCCCAGTCAGGGAAGTACGATCCCACATGCTGCACAATGTGGCCAAAAAAAAAAAAAAAAAATTAGTGTCTCAAAAAGTGTCTGGCCACATCTGTGTATGTGTATACAAACTGAATTGCTGCTATGCTTTTTCTTTCACTAAACAACCTATGGGTCATATCTCCATGTCACAACATGTATTTGCTTCATTCTTTTAAAAAATAGCATAATATTTCATTCTTGGTTGTAGTATAATTTATTTGAACCACTACCACTGGTAGACATTTAAATTCACTTTACTGTTTTGCTGTTTCAAATTAGTAACCATACTTATACATACCACTTTATATAAAAGAATGAGAATATTTGTATGACAATTGTCCTGGAAACTGAATCCCTAGGTCAAAAGGTATGTGCATTTAACATTTAGAGAGATATTGCCAAGTCGCCCTCCAAAACTTTGTGTGTATTTGCAGGCTCACCCAGTGTGCAAAATCGTGTTTTCCTGCACCTTCAGCGAGGGGTTTAGGGATTTAAGGGTTTCCAAAGTTTCTCATCTTTATTGTTAGGTAAATAGAGTTGCTGTTGTTAGTTGCTTTCTCATGTAGTTCTTTAATTAGGAAGGAAGTTGAGTGTTGTTGTGTGACTTTTGACTGTGTGTATTTCTTCTCATGTGAAAAGAAATTGCCTCTCCCTGTCCCTTGCCCACTTTCCCTACTGTGATGTTCATCTTTTTCTTATTCATTTTTAATAATGTTTTTAATATTAGGGAAATTAACATCTGCCTATTTTAAATATATGTACTCTGAATTAGAAATGATCTCATGCTGCCTAATTTCTAATGTGGGAGCCATTGCCTCTTTACAACTCACCGTCCAAACCCATCTTCTGTGGTGTGTGCACTTGCCTCTCCTAGGGGAGCCCTTCAACGGCCAGCTGGTACCAGAAGGGGGGAACCAGCAGGAGGGAGAAGGGAAAGAGGGGAACGAAGAGAAAGCAGACGTGCACGGCGGGGCACCTGAAATATTCACCTCGGAATCAGCACAGACCTTCCCGGTCAGGCATCCTGATAGATTCTCTCCCCACCGGCCAGACAGTGTGGTACCACCAGCACCACAGACCCCACGGCGGAGCCGGGATCACAACTGGAAACAGCTGGGGACAACGGAGTGCTCGACAACCTGCGGGAAAGGTGAGCTCATGTGCGGGCTAGGAGGGTCTCTGCAGATCCCCGAGCAGGAGTGGGGAACATGCAGGTAGGCCCCAGGCACGTGGCAAAGCTTCCCCTCCTTGAGCCTGACTGTGAGATTGCTCGTTAGTGTGAGGCTGTGTTGGGGGTTCCCCAAGACCACCCTCAGGCTCGGTGATCCACCCGAAGGACTTAGAAAACTCAGAAAACCTGCCGTGCTCATGATTACAATTTGTAACAGTGAAAGGCTACAGATTGGCATCAGCAAAGGGAAAAGCACGTGTGACAAAGTCCAGGACACACCAGGCGCCAGCCTCCAGGTGTCCCCTCCCAGTAGAGTGGCACAGGGATGCACTTGGTTCTCTCAACAATATTGTATATGAGCCAAGTATTGCCAATCAGAGAAGCTCACTCCAGCTTTAGTGTCCAGGGGATTTATTGAGGTTGAATCTCATAGGCCTGTAGCTCCCACATTAGCTACTCAGCCTTTAGCACCCCAGAGGTCAAACTAATACAACATGGCCTAAGGCCTCAAGCATGCAAAGACAGGCATTCACAGAAATCACGTTGTTGGCATAAACTAGCTTGTCAAACTGACAGAGCGCAACCCAAGATCTCTGGCATAGAAAAACCCTTATCAGCAGAGTATTCCAAGGGCTCTGAGGTTATCTCCAGCCCTGGTCAAGGACCAGTCCTGAATACAGGTCTCTCTTTGGAATATGCAGGGTCTGAGCAACCCAGGCCTGCTGAGTTAACCCTTTCCTGCACAGTGTGTTCATTAATAATCAGAGAATACACTCACCTAGTTCAAGATTTACAAGCTGACGTACAAGTCAAGGTTGTGGACACTTACACAAATGCCATTCAAAAGTCATTCTCAGGGCTTCCCTGGTGGCGCAGTGGTTGAGAGTCCGCCTGTCGATGCAGGGGACACGGGTTCGTGCCCCGGTCCGGGAGGATCCCACATCCCGCGGAGCGGCTGGGCCCGTGAGCCATGGCCGCTGAGCCTGCGCATCCGGAGCCTGTGCTCCGCAATGGGAGAGGCCGCAACAGTGAGAGGCCCGCCTACCGCAAAAAAAAAAAAAAAAAAAGTCATTCTCAGATCTAAGGATTTCAGAAAAAAAGAATGCTTTGGGAGCTTGAAGTGTTAGTTAGCTAGCTTTTACACTCCACAACTCCATTCTTCCTCCTCAGTAAATTCTTAATCCTGTATTTGTCCCATTATCTTGAGACCAGTCAACTCAGAACACCTGGAGCAAGGCTGTAGCCTAACAAAGTCAGTTTATGCAGCAAAGGGGACCACACACCAGTGGGAGCATAGGGCATCTCTCCAATGGAAAGAACAGATCCAGTAATAGGATTTAGGGGGAAAGGTGGGGTCTAGGTGAAATTTAAATAAAGCAGGGTTGTGGACTTCCCTGGTGGCGCAGTGGTTAAGAATCCACCTGCCAATGCAAGGGATATGGGTTCGAGCCCTGGTCTGGGAATATCCCACATGCCACGGAGCAACTAAGCCCGAGCGCCACAACTACTGAGCCTGCACTCTAGAGCCCGCGAGCCACAACTACAGAGCCCTCGTGCCACAACTACTGAAGCCCGCCCGCCTAGAGCCCATGCTCCACAACAAGAGAAGCCACTGCAATGAGAAGCCTGCACACCACAACGAAGAGCAGCCCCTGCTCGCCGCAACTAGAGAAAGCCTGCGTGCAGCAATGAAGACCCAACGCAGCCAAAAATGAAATAAACAAATTTATAAAAATAAATAAATAAAGCAGCAGAGTTGTGATAGGCTTGAAGCAAACCCTGGCTGTGTGTAAAAGGGTCAGTATCAGTCTGGACTGTGATGTGGACTCATGGTCCTGTGTCCTTGAACACTCAAAGGCAAGATAGATGTGGGATGTGGTGTCCAGAAACCCCTGACCTGATGTTCTGCACCTGGGTTGGAAATTGATGCTGCTTTTCTGTTCCAGGTGCCTTAGATCCTCATTGCAAGGATATGTATAACTGTGCAGCCGTGATTTCCTTCATATACATGGTGATAGCCTCCTGCTTGTAGTAAAGTGCTATTTGTGACTGTAAAACACCTGTTCTTCGAGGGCAGGTTACCATAGAAATAGAGGCTGTATCCCTGAGGAGTTTCTGCAACTGGGAAACATACCTCCAGCGTATTGGTTTGGGGAATTTTTTTCCTTTTCTTCAAGAGACTTGCGTCTGAGAGTACAAAACTTGGAAACGATGGCATAATCAACACATGGAAAAATCTTTCACAACCACCTTTAACGCTTTTATCTTTTTCATAAGAGCACTGACTTAGTGGCTTTTGAGAATCGAATTTAAGTCTTTGGTTCCTCCTGGGGTCTGGAGCCCTTCCTGCTTGGAATCTTTGCTGGTTCTGTGATGGCTTCATAACTGGTGTGCTGATTTATGGAGGTTTTATTGTGCTTATACTTAATACTTGCGCAGAGAATGTGAACTGGAGAGTCATTGTGCCAACTTCTCTTTAAGCCTTATGAGGGAAAGTTAAATGCCTGTTAAGTGTGTCTTAAAAGAGGCAGAAAGCTAGAGATAATTATGCATTAAGGCCAAAATCAGTTTAGTGAGGATCTATCCATGACGCCATAGAGGTAAGCAGTGTGAAACGAAATGTGCTTGACATAGGAGCCCAAGATCAAAAGGTTTTTGGGTTTTTTTTCCGGTACGCGGGCCTCTCACTGTTGTGGCCTCTCCCGTTGCAGAGCACAGGCTCCGGACGCGCAGGCTCAGCGACCATGGCTCACGGGCCCAGCCACTCCGCGGCATGTGGGATCTTCCCGGACCGGGGCACGAACCCGTGTCCCCTGAATCAGCAGGCGGACTCCCAACCACTGTGCCACCAGGGAAGCCCCCAAAAAGTATTTTGATAGTGCTGAAATAATCTACCATTTAGGTAGTGGTGTGATACCTGCTAACTGAAACAGATACACTCAGAACTAAGTGAGATCAGGTGAAAACAGATACACTCAGAACTAGGTGAAAACTAGGTGAAAGGATAAAGATTGTTGTCATGTGGTTTGATATCAAGGGTGGCATGTGTAGAAGAGTCTCCTCCATTTCATGTCTTTAAAGACAGCCTGGCCCAGTCTTTCCAGTAGGATGAGATGTAGGCCTGTCTGGAGACCATAAGGCATTGCATTGGGGACACAGTGGGACAAGGACAAGAGCATGTGCCATTTGCCACGCACCCTGCGTGCTGCTCACCCAGCCTTGTGTTCACTGGACTCATCCAGGTGGTCATTCAACAGTCTGTGTCTGTTCTGTACCAGGCATGGTGGAGGGACCCCTTTGCTCCCTCTAAGGTTTGCTCCCAGCCAGCAATGGCCTCAGAGATGTCAGGGCAGGGAGGCAGTGTGGATGCACAAAACATTTAGCTCATCTCATGGTTGTCAGTGGTAGTGACAAGTATGCCGTGACCAAGAAATTCTGAGTCTGCCAGGGCTGTCCATCTCTTTTCTGCACAACCCAAGTCCACTTGCCTCGTGATCTCATCATTTTCCCCACACAAACCCTCTCCCAAACTCTCCTCCAGTCCTTCCTGGCAACACTCACCAGACCACACATTTCTGTGCCTCTCAGATTAAAATTCCAGCATCATGATAGCATGATCACGGGGGGGAGCCCTGTCACTGGTGTATAAGAGAGGCCCATACTCTGTCCAGTCACTGCCCGGACCTCTGTTTATCTGGTCAAACTCCTGGCTTGGCCCAGTTGATCCCTTACGTTCCAAGACTAGAGTTATTTAATTTTTTCTTTCTTCTTATTTTGTCCATCTCTCCACAATGCCTCACTGACCTCTACACGGTCCCCTGAATTCACTGACTTACCTCATTTAATGTCCACTGATTACCTGTGGTACAGTCCCCCCTCCAACGTAACATACTTCTGTTTAGATCAACACATTGAACGTACAGCCCAACCAAACTGATCCCAGATTGTTCCTGCTACCTGAAGCCCAGCCAGCACCTGACCTCCCCACCCCATTCTTGCTGGCTAGCACTTAGAGGGCTAATTGTGTGGCATGCTTGGACAGTGAAGAAGTGGCCAGGTACCATTCTGAGTGATAGTCTCCCTTTCTGCAGAAATATAAACTGACCCAGAGAAAGAAACCTTTTTGGTCATTGGAGTCAAGAACTATAGATCTAGTGTTTTCCCACCATCGGAGACAGAAAGAGTACCTCTGAGTTTGTGTCCTTGGCTAAACGCTGGAACTGGACAGGGGGAAGGCAGGCAGTGGCCAAAGTGCACACAGCCCCAAACAGGACCCATCTTTCCAAGGCACAGAGCATTCCTAGGGTAACTTGTATCTTTTCAGCTAAAGATACTCAATTCCCCCCTCATTAGTGCCAAGCAGTTGGGGTAGTTACTTTTGCCTTCCAATCCACAAACGTGTAAGTAGAAAAGTTAAACCCACATGGTCTGATGGGAAAGGGATGGGTTGAATAATAAAATTTTTACTGAAGCCCTTATTAGCTGCATCCCAATGAGTATCCTGCAAGCTGTGAACTGAATATTATTCATCTTTGTAACTCAGCACAATGTCCTTAATGTTTGTTGAATTTCATTAAAAATCTCTTCTTAATGGAAGCAGATATGTTACTGGACAAAATTTAATTCCACAAAGGTTTTTGCTTCCTATTAATTTTATAGCCAGTACTGCTTTTTTTTTAACATCTTTATTGGAGTTAATTGCTTTACAATGGTGTGTTAGTTTCTGCTGTATAACAAAGTGACTCAGCTATACATATACATACATCCCCGTACCTCCTCCCTCTTGCGTCTCCCTCCCACCCTCCCTATCCCACCCCTCTAGGTGGTCACAAAGCACCGAGCTGATCTCCCTGTGCTATGCGTAGTACTGCTTTTTACTCAGCTAATAATTATGCTTAATTGGAACATTATTTTAAAATAATGGTCTCAAGTTATAGCTGCATTGTAAATGTTTATGCCCATAGTAGTTTAAACAAACGATTGTTTCTGATTCAAAACTGTCTTACAAACTGTCATGTTTTTTACAAGAACTACCTTCTGGCTCGGTGCGTCCCACAAAATCAGCTTAAAGAAGCATTGGAACACTTCGTGGCTGCTGAAATATTTAGAGACACATTCAAAGTTATCCCTCTAGTTACAATTAAAATTATAGCAAGTTGAAGTTGAGAAACTCTAAATGCCTGGCCAATTAGCAACAGAGGTGAGACAAAGCTGTAGGCTAAATGCCAGTGTTCTGCCCAGCAGGACCCAGCTACTGGCCTAGACTGGGGCCGGGGGTGGGTGGAGTGGGTGCACAGTCATTTATGAAAAAGCATCTTACTCTCCAGACGCTCGGGTTGCGCCTTCCCCCAGTTACTGTTCTTTGTAAACACTCAGTAGTAATACTTCAGTGCTGCCACCAGGGGGTAGCAGAGAGAGAGAGAGGCAGGCCTAATTGAATCAGTTTTGGTTTTGTTTTTTCCAGTTGAGAGCTAGAAATTTCACTGAACAAACTTTGACTTTTTCTCCAAAATATATTATGCCTTATTAAGTATGAAACATGAGGCTGTGCATTTAAAACATACAAAAAAACTTAGGCAGTCAGTATTTTTTTTTTAGCAAAGTAACAAAAACAAATGTTAGACCTCTGATAAATATTCACTCAACAAACTTTTATGGAGCACTTACTCCCCTGCTGTACTGGGGTTACAGGGTTGAGCAAGCACCAGTCCTGTCCCCTAGAAACTCACCATCTCATAGGAGGCAGACATATACTCAAATAACCAAAATTCCACTGGATCAGTCCTTTACTGGGGGAATGTGTAAAATGATTTACAAAGGCGAAGCCAGCTGCTTTTCTAGCCTCTCTTGAATTTTCTTACTTGTCTGCCCCAACCTGACTGTTGCTTCAACATACCTGGCTCTTGCAGGCCAGTTTGCCATGCACTTTTGTTCCAGTTCCGCGGCCTGGACAGAGCCCCCCTCCAAGACACACGTGTGCACAGCTATCCAAAACCAACCCTCTCTCTGCAAAACCCTCTCTCTTTCATGTCTGCGGAAAACCTTCAAGAAGTTATTATTTGTGTTCATTTTATAATCATTCCCCTGCCTATCGATCTTTCTTGTTGTCTTGAACTGTTAGGGGAATTGTTTTTATCTGCCTCTGAACATGTTCAAACCATGTCCACAAATAGCTTATAAGGCCTTTGAGGGCAGGAACTATTCCTGCTCTTCTTTGCCCCGGACAGTGCCTAGGAAAGCCCTTGTGCAGGAGCTGCGTGTAAACTCAGGAATGGAGGAGTGTGTGTGTGTGAATCGTTCTGTTTCTGAGGCTTTTCTTCATCAGCATCCGGACCTCTGCGCCATCTGCATTCATAGCCCAGCATTAGAGTGTGTTCTCCTTGTCCCTGCAGGATCGCAGTACCCTATTTTTCGCTGTGTGAACAGAAACACTCACGAAGAGGTTCCTGAGAGCTACTGTGACTCGAGCATGAAGCCGACCCCGGAGGAGGAACCCTGCAACATCTTCCCTTGCCCAGCCTTGTAAGAGGGCCTCTGCCTGTTTTCAGCTCACTTCTAGTTGCTTGTGCATAGGACCCTAGTAGTAGATGTAATCTAATTTTTAAATCAGCCTACATCTGATTTAGAAACGGGAGACTTAGTCTATGCATAAAATGCCATCTGTTTAGCAAGTGCACCTGGCTTTCAGGATTCACACAGGAGCTCACAGCCTTTAACTGCTCAGCACACACCCAGGAAGCCTTTGGTGAACTGGAGAAATTAGGTTTTAGCCGGCAAGGAAAACAAAGAGGGAAGCAAAGAGTTACAATCCAGCGCAGTCAGTGCTCAGGCGAGCTGTGTACAGAGAGAGACTAATGTAAGTCACAAATACATCTGCTTGGGGAGTGTCTCAGGAGAGGTCTTGGTTTAGTTATTGAATAATAAATAGGACACTTTTAGAAGAACAAGGAGGGAAAGCCCTAAAAGGGGTCAAAACATAATTCCCAAACTAATGAGAACATAATTCTCATCCGAAGACATAGGGCCCACGTGCCGATGTCTTATTTAAGGAAATGACAAAGCAGGGTAACAGAGGAGAATATGTGAAACTGATGTGTAAATAGTTCATGAAAAATAACAAAGGTTGGAAGAAGATTTCTAAGTTCCAAAATGAGTTAATGTTCTACAGGGTAATAAAACTCATCTTTGGAGGTATTTTTCTGACTAGATAAAAATCTTTTGTACCTTCTTGGTTTTCTATAATTTTACGGAATCTGGGCCCTAATCACTGGTAAAGAGAATATGGAACAGAGCCACATTCTTTATGGAGTCAGACGGCCTTAGGCAGACTGCCAGGCACTGCTCTGGGCTGGGGATCACCCGTAACAATTCTGATGCTTCTTTGTAAGTTGGCTTGGCCAACTTCTGTGTAAGATGCTCTCTTCCTGTTGACTGAAGTGACTGGTCCCTCTCGATCTCTCGTTCCTGAGCTAGCTGGGACATCGGGGAGTGGTCTGAGTGCAGCAAAACCTGTGGCCTGGGCATGCAGCACCGCCAGGTTCTGTGTCGCCAGGTGTATGCCAACCGCAGCCTGACGGTGCAGCCCTACCGCTGCCAGCACCTGGAGAAGCCTGAGACCACCAGCACCTGCCAGCTCAAGATCTGCAGCGAGTGGCAGATCCGGACGGACTGGACCTCGGTACGCAGCAGGCCAGCCTGCTCTGGAGCTCCCCCTCCAAGACCTACCGCCACCCTCCTGCATCCCCCCTCCAAGACCTGACGTGGGAGAACCCTGGATTCTCCAGGAGGACCTGTCCTGTGGGGTTCTGGAAGGACTATTCTGCAAACCATAAGATGTGCCGATAGGGCCATCCTATCATCCTGATAGACTTAAGGGCCAACTTTCAGGGTGAGCCCATGGGAGCCGTGTGCACACACGTGTCCTCTCTCTCCTGTGTCACGGTGGAGTGAAGGCTGGCAAAGGCTGCTAGAGCCAACTCCTCCTTCCAGTCGTGCTCTCCCATTTTATAGATGGCAAAACTGAGGCCCAGAGGATCAAAGTAGGCGAGACATCCAAGCAGATCTTAGAGAGAAGGCGTGTGATGTTTTCAGGCTGGGATCCTTCCCAGGTAGCATTGCTCGACAGGGGACCCCGCAACCCAGGGGTCTCGCCCCACCCCGTCCTCTGCTCAGGTGGCGGGTAACGAGGACGAGGGCACCCTGACCGGAGGGGCCCTCAGAGCTGGCACTGCCCGGTGCGCTGATGTGCGCTTGCTGTGTTTTAGTGCTCGGTGCCCTGCGGAGTGGGGCAGAGGACCCGCGATGTGAAGTGTGTGAGTAACATCGGGGACGTGGTCGATGACGAGGAATGCAACATGAAACTCCGGCCCAACGACATTGAGAACTGCGATATGGGACCCTGCGCCAAGAGCTGGTTCCTGACGGAGTGGAGCGAGAGGGTGAGCGTGCCAGATGGCGGGCGGGTGGGACCAAGGCTGCTGGTCTGATGGGCAGGAGCCGTGCATCACGACGTGCCCCAAACCACACAGAGACAAATCGCTAGCTTGGAATCCCAAAGGTGATTTCTGACTTTGGGGAAAAACCCAGAGGTGAACTACTGTAGGCTTTCTATCCTTCTGTGAAGACTGAGGGCCTCCAAGATCCAGACGTGGGTATGAAAGAATTCATTTAATTCTCCTTAGCATGTCACACGAATATTAAATAATGAAATTCTAAATAAAGTGAGGGATTACATCACACCTTTCCTACATCTTGGACGTGCCTGGCATAGAACAGGCACTCAGCAAATGACAGGCCCCCTTCCCTGCTTCTTACAGACTCAAAACCATTCCCCTCCCCAGTAGCGCAGCCGCCTAGGGTCCCTGGTGTCAGGTGTCAAGGATGAACTCCAAGGCGTATATAGTTCATCATTAGCCCACCAGTTACCTGTGTACAAGGGAAGCCATTAAGAAATTGAATTCATCTATCAAAGACAAAAGTAAGAGTTATATCAGAAGAGAGAGGGATTCTGGAGATGGATGGTGGTGATGGTCATACAACAATGTGAATGTACTTAATGCCACTGACTTGTACTCTTAAAAAATGATTAATATGGTAAATTTTATGTTATGCGTATTTTACCATAATTTAAAAAAAATGTTAGGGAAAAATACTCAGCAAAATTCGAGGATGTACGCTGGGGTGAAGGAGCGGGCGGGGAAGGAGATAAGGAGTTTTGCCCGCCTTTTCTTGTGGAAGATGTTGATTGGCTGACAGTAGGCATATTCTGACCAGCGCAGCTGGACTGCGGATCAGATGAACAGTTTCTGGGTTTCTGGATTCTTCAGAAGACCTTGGAGGTTTAACTGGGATGGAGACATTAGTGGCTGCCTCTGTCCTTAGTGCCTCCCTCCCAATTAGGCCAGGTCTGCACCATTTCCCTTAGCAGAATCCCTCAGGGTGCTTCCAAACTGTAATGTGCCTACAAATCCCTGGAAACCTTGTTACAGTGCAGACTCTGAGTCATCCTGCCGGGAATGTGTCCCTGTACCAGCCGTCCAGGTGAGCATGGGCCACACAGATAGCAGGGATATTAACACTGATGTGTCCAGCTCCCAGGCCCAGCTCTCCCTTTATATCAGGCCACCTCCCAATACTCCCATAGCTGTGGCCCTCGGGGACTGGAGCCATCTGCCTTAGTATCAGGCAGCAATGTCTTGTGACAGACTTCAGCCGTCCTTTCCCAGACCAGTCCAGACTCAGCTACTAGCGGGCAGATGGTGTGCCCGAGTTTTCGCGCTTTCACTATTCTGCTGCTGAATAGATGTTCGAAATCGAAAGCCAAAACAGTAGTCTGACAAGTGTAAGTGTGTTCATCACAGCCGTGGGACAGGCTGTTTGGAAAGAAGACTGTCCCTGCAAATCTAGGACAGGGTGCCATACTGATATCCCATAATGGAGGAAAGCGTGCCTGAGAAGTGGTCAGAGGTTTCCAGGGGAAAGAGGTAGTAGGGAAACGCGGTGTCGTTCGCATCCTTTGAGAGTGGCTTCAGAACCTGTGGGGAGGCCTCCCCTCTAAGGCGCTCCTTTCTGTCTCGCAGTGCTCGGCAGAGTGTGGGGCTGGAGTGCGGACACGCTCGGTGGTGTGCATGACCAACCACGTCAGCAGCCTGCCGCTGGAGGGCTGCGGGAACAACCGGCCAGTGGAGGCCACCCCGTGTGACAACGGGCCCTGCACAGGCGAGGTGGAGTGGTTTGCGGGAAGCTGGAGTCAGGTGAGTGGCCGGAACCAGGTGTGTCTGTCCGTCCCCTGACCTGTTTCTGGGTCAGGGAATAGGGCTCGGTGTATCCCGGGGGTGCCGGGTGGGTTTGAACCCCAGCTGTGCTACCCATGACCCTGGAGAAGCTACTTATGCTTTTGGAGCCTCATTCGGTCAACAGTAGTTATTCTTGATTAATTTGTGAAGACCCTCTCTCCAAATAAGATCAGATGCTGAGGTACAGAGGTTAGGATTTAAACATATGAACCCTTGGGGGACACAGTTCAACCCATAGCTAGTATATAGTTCTATCATTATTGACAAACATTACTGCCGTGTTACTACCACCACGATCAAGATATAGAACAGTTCCATTGCCCACCAAAATTCTCCATGCCTTTGTGGTCAACTTTTTCCTTCAAACCTGGCACCTGGCATCCACTCATCTGTTTCTGTCCTCATAATTTTGCATTTTCCAAAATTTCGTATTACTCTATATAACAGTATGTAGCCTTTTGAGTCAGCTTCCTTTTGCTTATATGTAATACACGTGCATTTGAGATTTATTCATATTGTTCCATATATCAATAGTTCATTTTGTTTGTGGCTGAGTAGTGCTCCATTGTATGGGCATACTACACTTGTTGATTCCCAAGTTGAGGGACACTTCAGTGTCTGGTGATTTTGAATAAAGCCATTTTAACTTTCATGTACAGTTTTTTATGGATGCATAAGTTTTCATTTCACCTGGGTCAATGCCTAGGAGTGGAATTGCTGAGTTGTGTAGTAAATGGTTTTTTAATTTAATACAGAGCTCCAAGCTCTTCCAGAGTGGCTGTACCCTTTTGTATTCCTGTGAGTAATGTCTAAAAGTTCTAGTTCCTCTGTATCATCAGATCATGGTGTTATCTGAGTTGTTTTTGTTTTTGTTTCTTTTTTGCCATTTTAACAGATATTGGTGATATCTCAAAAAAAAAAAAAACCCCGGTAGTTATTGAGCACCTACTATGTGCTCTTCTCTCTAAGCCCTTAGGATACATCATTGAGCAAAACCAATATCCCTGCCCTCAGGAAGCTTATGGTCCAGCATGGTTTCCTTGTCTACAAAATGCCAATAATGAAGCACATTATGAGGTTATTTTTAGAAGAAATGAAGTAATGTGTACAAAGTATGTAGTGCAGTGCCTGACATACAATAAACACACAATAAATTGTAGCTTCTAGTGCTATTATTGTTAATAAAGGCAGTTTTGTCTGTGTTTGAGTGTCAAAAGCAGAAATAGATATGATCCAGCAGTCCCACTTCTGGGTATATATACAAAGGAAAGAAAATCATTATCTGGGAGAGATATCTGCACTGCCCAGCCCCCCGCCATGTTCGTAGTATTGTTCACAATAGCCAAGGTATGGAAATAATCTAAGTGTCTGTCGACAGATGAATGGATAAAGAAAATGTGGTATTTGTTTATCATGGAATATTATTCAGCCTTTAAAAAGGGAGGAAATCCTGCCATTAGCAACAACATGGATGGACTTGGGGGGCATTATGCTAAGTGAAATAAACCAGACACAGAAAGGCAAATACTGCATGGTATCACTATATGTGAGATCTGAAAAAAAAGTCAAACTCAGGAAAACAGAGTTGAATGATGGTTGCCAGGGGCTGGGGGTGGGGGATATAAGAAGAGGTTGGTAAAGGGTTCAAACTTTCAGTTATAAGATGAATAAGTTCTGGGGATCTAATGTATAACATGGTGACTATAGTAGATAATACTGTATTGTATACTGAAATTTACTAAGCGAGTAGAACTTAAGTGTTGTCACGTATACACACAAAAAAGGTAAATATGCTAAGTGATGGATGTGTTAACTTGACTGCAAGAATCCTTTCGCAATGCACATGTATACCATATCATCACGTGCATACTTTCAATATATTACAATTTTATTTGTCAATTATATCTCAACAAAGCTGGGGGAACGAAGCAGAAACAGAAAAAGTTAAGTTTGTTCATTATGAAGAACCAATAATACCAAATGCCTCAATAAAGTAACTTAATTGATATTAATTTTTCCTTAGGGTTCCAAAATTGAACATGAACCCCCTAAAATCATTCCCTCTTTGCCCCGTTATGATTACTATCGGTATTTTGAGTTCTTAGGCCGTTTAGTATTTGGCTCCCGGGGCTGGCTGGTTCTCCAAAGACTTTCTGGCTGATGACCATGATTTACACATTATCTGGACCTCTGGCTCCATATAGAATTTTATTTCTTTTAAGTAGCTTTAAAAACAGACCCTGAAAAGAAATGGACTGCCTTGTCCTTGTAAATCAACACAACCCCTTTGGAAAGCAGTTTGGCAATAAAAGTCAAGAACCATAAAAATGTTCATTTGCCTTCACCCAGTCACCCCACTCCTGGGGATTCATTTTAAGGAAATAATTAGCAGGAGAAAAAAAAAGTTTTTTCAGCAGAGATGTTCATGATAGCATGATGGTTAGGGATATTATGGTATATCGTAACTCATTAAGATACGTAACAAGAACAATGATAATTAGGAAGATGTGGAAAATACATATAATATAAAGGCAAGTGAAAAACAGAATATGAAAGTATATGAACCCTATCTCAACCGCTTCAAAGTATAGTTTTTTATATAAACAACATGGGCAAGTGTTTTCTTCTCAAATTTCCTTAATATTTTTATAATACAAAGTGTAAAATATTTAAAAATTCAGAAAAGAAAGAATTCAAGTACTTCCAATGCTACCCAAGTCGATATCAGAGTTAGACATACTTGATAACAGATCCCAGTTCTGCATCGCCTTAGTTCTCTGAGTTGGGGCAGGTAATTTAACCTCTCTGAGCCTGTTTCCTCATCCAAATATGATGATAATGATATCAACTTTTTAGAGTTGCTATTGGGTTTTCATTAGACACTGTATATAAAAGGGTCATTGCTGGACTTCCCTGGTGGCGCGGTGGTTGAGAGTCCGCCTGCCGATGCAGGGGACACGGGTTCGTGTCCCAGTCCGGGAAGATCCCACATGCCACGGAGCGGCTGGGCCCGTGAGCCATGGCCGCTGAGCCTGCGCGTCCGGAGCCTGTGCTCTGCAATGGGAGAGGCCACAACAGTGAGAGGCCCGCGAACCACAAAAAATAATAATAATAATAAAAATAAAAAAAATAGAAGGGTCATTGCTTAGGACGTGGGGAGTACTTAATAAATATAGTTCCCTTTCTCCATGTTTATTACTTTTTCTGCCAATGTTTCTATCTCATTGTTGGTAGCAAAACACCTAGGATCTACACCCCAAAGATAATTCAGAAGTAGACTGTGTATGGGACACTAATTACACCAAGTATTCATGGAAACTGAGGCAATGCGAAGAGTCCTGTGTGAAATCGTGATACTGGATCATAACAGCCTTCACACAGAGAAGATAAACAGTGCAGTTCGACTCACACGTCCACCAATGTCTGAGGAAGAAGAAAGGGGAGCAGAATTCAGGTCTTTTTTTTTTTTTTTTTTTGCGGTACGCGGGCCTCTCACTGTTGTGGCCTCTCCCGTTGCGGAGCACAGGCTCCGGACGCGCAGGCCCAACGGACATGGCCCACGGGCCCAGCCGCTCCGCGGCATGTGGGATCCTCCCGGACCGGGGCACGAACCCGTGCCCCTGCATCGGCAGGCAGACTCTCAACCACTGCGCCACCAGGGAAGCCCGATTCAGGTCTTTTTGATCTGTGGGCGTCCTATTGACTCCAGACCTACTCAGAGAACTGAGAGTCGCATGAATCCTGGTGAAGGCAGCATTTATCTCTGCTAAGATTAGAAACATGGAATTTATTGCCTGTCATCCAAAGGGTCAGGACATGATTGATTGTGGACAAGGTTTTCGTTCTGAATTTATAAGACTATCAGAGCCTGCTGGCACCTCCCTGCCCTGGGAATTTGATATTATCCCCAAAGAAAATGAAATAGAGCATGCTTATTTGTTGAAAGAAAGTCTTAAACATTAACTGACTTCAGGATATAAAAATAAATGTTCCTTCCAGACACGTGGTTTGAATGAGAGTTGGCCTCTTGAACACCCCACTGGCCCGGTCACAGTGATTAGTCCAGGATGGACATGTGGCCCAAACCGAGCCAAACGGAGTCCTTTCCTGGGACTTTTCATGTGGACTTAGGGGAAGAGACTCCCTGGGAAGTTGTGAGCACAGGTGCCAGCAGTGGTCCCGTTGAGGCTGGTGGAGAAGCCAGCCCAAGAGAATGAGACCTGTCAGGCTTAGGGAGTCTTTTTCTACTCTGGAGACAAAGTAGCCCAACTCTTACTCATAAGATATTCCACCAGGTCTATTATTCATGCACAGATGCTTTCTTTCTTCCCTGTCAATCCTGGGTTTACTTCACCCTTAGATTGTCTTAGTTCTTGCGGGGGATGGGGGGATGGTTCTTTCACAGTCTTTAGCTATTAAGAGCAGCCTTCTTGTCTGCCCCTGTGTCTGGATCACATTTACTCTCTAACATCTGAGCAGACAGTCCCAAAACTAAGAAGCCTTGTAGTTTTCTGGATGTCTGTGAAGATGGCAGAAAAGAGGCACAAAGTGGAAATTGCTGATGGAGATGTTTATTATGCCCTGTGTGAATAATCCATAGTCTGTTGCCTTGGGTTTGGGGTACTTTTGCTGGGTAGTGACGTGGGTTTTTCCACTCTGTTTTTATTTCACCATGTGCCTGCATACAGCAGCAAGGATAATATTGAGTTTCAGCTGTAGACATGTTTACAGGCTATTCATAAAGGTAATAGCTTCTTTAAAGTCCTTAAAAGTATATAGATCACAGCTTGTAAAATTTTCTAACCAAAAGGTATTAAGAGTATACCAAACATAAATAAAAAACATTTTACAAAGTAATAGATACTAAATGGAATAACTTATAGGCGGTTACATGCATTGTATTTCCATAACCTAACACAATGAACCAAGACGTGTGATTATCTGACTGGCTTCTTCGTGGCCGCAACCGCAGCGAGCTTCAGCTCCAAGTAAGAAGCCAAGGGATTGGACTCCGCGGACAAAGGCTTCCTGCTGGCTGCCCTGTTGGGAGCGGAGGGCTGACCAGGGGACATTGTCCCAAGTCTGTGGTCTTCTCAGCTTCGTGTGTCCCAAAGAATTTTAATGTAGCCGTTCATCCAGAGGCATGCAGACTCTGGGAAATGAATTCATTCCCAGTTCCCTCCCCTAAAAGACCAGCAGATAAACTAGAATGTTAGTTCATTGTCTTACAGTGAGAAATGTCAGGAGTCTACCAGACAAAACCAAATTGACTGGCTGGTGTGTTCTGTGGGAAAGCCTACGGGACACTATCTCACTCACATTTCACCGAGGGTGCCAGGATCCCAGCAGCCAGCATCCTCAAGCTGTGAGAACTCAGGGCACCCACTCTCCATTCCAGACACAGAAGTGTTAGGAAAACTGGAATCTGTGTGCAACTTTTCCTCCAGAAGTGTTTTCCGGGCACCCTCGGGCTCTTCCTCACTGAATCAATGATGGTAAGCTCTGGTAAACATCGCTCAATGGATGGCAGTTCTCGTCCCCTTTCCGTCATGTGGCACCCATCTTTCTCTGCTTCTTTCTCCAGTGTTCCATCGAGTGTGGGAGCGGGACCCAACAGAGGGAGGTGATTTGTGTTAGGAAGAACGCTGACACCTTTGAAGTGCTGGACCCCTATGAATGTTCCTTCCTGGAGAGACCCCCCAGCCAGCAATCCTGCCACCTCAAGCCCTGTGGAGCCAAATGGTTTAACACAGAATGGAGCATGGTAAGTCCCGGTGCTTTTGGTAGAGGTTGTGTTAGTACATCATTATGCTTCCCCCCTCCCCCCCCCCACTGTTGAGCCACCTACTGGGTACCAGGCACTGGGCTCAGCCCTTGAGTAGATTCCCTGCAGCAATCAGCTCTACTTGGTCACAGCCAGGGTGCCCTGGACTCAGCCTGCTTGGCGGGGAGTGGGGAGCCTGAGACTGGGACAATTTTGATTTCTAAACTATAGAGGCCATAAAATAGTGACTCTCAAATTTTTGTGGGCATAAGAATCAGAGGGGATCTGTTTGAAATGGCCGATTCTGGGTCCAACGTGGCCAAGGAATTTGCTCCTTAGGTGAGTTGGCTACAGGTGTAACCAACATTTTGAGAAATACTGCTGCAGAGGTTTGATGGCTGAAAGGATTCAGGGATGCTGTTGAGAATACAACACCATGAAGTGATCTTGTTATAAATCCCACTGGAGGAATTTCTGTCAGGCCTCCATACCTCTGTGTGTGTGTGTGTGTGTGTGTTGTACACTTTTTTTAAAATCCTATAGACAATATGGATTATGGGACTGATCCTGTTTTTCTCTTTGAATTGGCTACTAGGAAACTCAGAGCCAAAACTGTGGCCCGTCTCTGGGAGAGAGTTTATCAGAATATACAAAGTGACTTATAGGTGCTAATGTTCTCTGGCTTCTCTTTCTCTTTCCTACTTTTATCTTCTTTTTACCCCAGTTTCCTCACTTATTTTTTATCTTGTGGCCCTCTTATGTATTTCTTAAGCCATCTCAAATCCTTTTTGTACGGAAGGAGGGTAAATGAAGCAAGACAGAGCTACAGAGAGACAGAGTGAATAGAGAACTAGGTTAGTAAGGAATGAAATGGAAAAGGATGGAAACAGTGATAAAATTCTTTTTTTTTTTCAAGTGAAAGAGTTTATTGTTAAGAAACTTCCTAAAACAGAAAAATTCCTGAGGTCATCGTTCCCAGTGACCATTTCATATGACTTGGACACAAGGGGACCAGTGTTCGTTCTGCTTTTTGTCAGGGAAGATTGTCAAGCAGTGGCTGTAGGTGACTCCAGAGTAGAGTCCAGAGCCTTCCTCAAAGTCATTCAAAGGTGATCAAAGGGATTTTCTTATAAAATATGTGGATAAAAGCTGAGAATTCTGTTTTCAGACAGTGTATGACAGCCATTTGGGTATGTGGTGAACCACACCTTGGATGCAAATGGGAATAAAGGAGGTGTTGAGTTTCAAAGATGTTTTGCCAGCTTCTGGGAAATACCATTTTATTATTTTGATATTGACCAAGGCCCTTGAGAAAGCAGGAACAGATCACTATTTTCTTCTGCCATTGTGCTTAGAGAGTCTAGAAAGGGCCAAACTCACCAGGCCACGTCAAAGGCCACCAACTCCAAAGACACCTGCCTTGCCTGGGAACAACCCAGACGTCCCTCAGCAGGTCAGTGGATAAACAAAATGCAGTGCGTCCAAACAATGGGGTACCACTCAGCAGCAAGAACAAATGAACTGCTACCTCCCACGACTTGGAGGAACTTCAGATGCACTTTGCTAAATGAAAGAAAGAGCCCCCCCAAAACTGTATGTTGTATGATTACATTTACATAATATTCTGTAAAAGGAAAAACTATAGGCACAGAGACCAGATCAGTGATTGCCGGAGGATGGAGCAGGGTGAATCTCACTACAAAGGGACAACACAAGAGGATTCGTTGTGTGTGATGAAAGTTCTGTCTTGTTTGCAGTGGGAGATACATGACTCTCTGAATTTGTCAAAACTCAGAACTGTGCACCACAAAAAATGAATTTTTCTGCATGTAAATTTAAAAATAAATAAGTGAGCTGAAACTAATATGAAATATATAGTTACTATAGTAGCAAAGATGATGGAAGCAAGACATTTTTAAATTTACCTTGTTTTATAAATTTGAGTTTGGAACTAAGTAAATATTTTATACAATTATAAAACAGGGATTTCCCTGGTGGTGCAGTGTTTAAGAATCCTCCTGCCAACGCAGGGGACACAGGTTCGAGCCCTGGTCCAGGAGGATGCCACATGCCACAGAGCAGCTAAGCCCGTGCGCTATAACTACTGAGCCTGCACTCTAGAGCCCACGTGCCACAACTACTGAAGCCCACGCGCCTAGAGCCCGTGCTCCGCAGCAAGAGAAGCCACCGCAATGAGAAGCCCGTGCACCGTAAATGAAGAGTAGCCCCTGCACGCCACAACTAAAGGAAGCCCACGCACAACAACGAAGATCCAACGCAGCCAAAAAAAAAAATTTTTTTAACAAAGTTATTCCTTTTAAAAAAGAAATCTCTAAAAATGGAAAATGCAATGAAACAAATTAACCTAAATATGTATGCAGTTGGTGGCATCAGCACCCTTGCATGTGGCTGTAAACCACAGTAATTTGTCCATCCCTAAGGACAAAAAGTACTGCAGAAAAATGTTTGTAGTGTTGGCAATAATCACATTTTTAGTGATAGCTGGTGTCCTGTGTTCTGAGATGATTGGTTGTATAATGGGTGATAAAGTAAATGAATAATCTACTTTATGGTACTGTGATAATATATGTACCAGTAAATATGCTAGTATGATAGTATAGCTCTATTATCCCCAGGATCCTTGAGAAATAGGATTCTTAACTTAGGAGAAAGAAGATACAGACCAAAAGTAGAAGAGATTTAAGTGAAAATCCTGTTGTCCTGAATTTGACTTAGAAATATCAGTATGAACTCACAAATTAATTTATCTTAAAAAAATTTTTTCCCTGTTTTATCCACTGAAAGAGCCTGGAAACAATGACCAACCCAGTAGCAAACGGCATGCCTATCAGCTAGAATATGGTTTCAAAATGCCACTCCCCACTAAAAGGAGCCAAGAATTCTTAGAGAAATGGCTGATTCCAGGTCTGTGACTGTTATAGGTGTAAATTAGATCGGGATGTCTTTTCATACCAGGTAGCAAGGAGATTCTCAAAGACGAGGTCATGTCCAAAGGGCTCAAGAACCAACTTTTGGGCTCCTGATAGCCATTGATGGGACATCAGTGAGCATCAGTAAAAATAATAACTACCGGGCTTCCCTGGTGGCGCAGTGGTTGAGAGTCCGCCTGCCGATGCAGGGGACACGGGTTCGTGCCCCGGTCCGGGAAGATCCCACATGCCGTGGAGCGGCTGGGCCTGTGAGCCATGGCTGCTGAGCCTGCGCGTCCGGAGCCTGTGCTCCACAACGGGAGAGGCCACAACAGTGAGAGGCCCGCGTACCGCAAAAAATTAAAATAAAATAAAAAGTAATAATAATAACTACCATGGATTTAATGAAATACATCACATATGTTTAAATCCATCCATCTCTAATAAGTTTGTAATGATAAAAAAAAAACTAATTAGAGGTTCCACCATTGGAGGATGTTAGGGGAACCAACTCATTATTCTGAAAACTGATAAATAAAAGAAAATAGTCAAGAATTTACCCTGTCTCTCCTAAACAAGCCATACCACTGGGTAACCAGAGAGTAAATATATATGAGGAAGGGGTAAGGATTCTTTAGATTCTCAGCTTATAAAAGAAGAAGAGGTGTTAGGATAGTATCACCATTTTTCAGGAAATGCGGAAGACAGAGGAACATGTCAAACAGTACCATGGGGATGCAGTCAGCAAAATCCTGACTCTGGGAAACTCTACAGGACAAAAGACTGAGTTCCTCCAACAAATAAAGTACAAGGGGGAAGAAACACAGGGGAGGGGAACCCGTGGATTAAGGGTCGTAAAAGGCATGTCAACCAGCTGCAATATACAGACCCGATCCCCCCCAAAAAAAACTCTATTAAAAAAATTGAGATTCACAAGGCAAATGGAAATAGGAACACTGAATATATCTTTGAAGGTAAGGAACTATTGTTGATTTCTAGGTGTAATAATGGTATCGTGGTAATTTTTTAAGAGTCTTTGTTTTTTAGAGCTACAGACAGAAATATTATGGAAGAAGTGATATGATATCTAGATTTGCTTCAAAATAATGGACCTGGGTGGGTACAGACGAGACGTGGCTAGCCATGAGTGGATGCGTGTTGAAGCTGGTTGCTAGGTGCAGGGGAGTTTAATACTCTGTCTCCTTTGGTAGATGTCTGAAATTTTCCAATATCTGTCTTCTCCCATGTGCTGAGCTAATGGACTGTCAAGAAATCTAACTTTCTTCCTTTCCCCGGGCAGTGTTCCAAGAGCTGCCAGGGCGGCTTCCGCGTCCGGGAAGTGCGCTGTCTGTCTGATGAGATGACCCTAAGTAATCTCTGCGACCCTCAGTTGAAACCAGAAGAGAAAGAATCTTGTAACCCTCAGGACTGTGTCCCTGAAGTTGGTAAGTAGGGAGTCTTATCTTGGAGTAAAATATTCATCTTTCTTAAGCTCCGTCCTGTTCTCTGGTATGAAAATGCCAGATTCATCTAGGTCTCTCTGTGACCTTGTGCCTAGTCATGGAGTTGAAGGGGGTCAGCATCCTTTGGGTATATATTTCATAGTTTAAGGTGCCTGTTGATAACACAGATGGCGATCCAAGCCACCCATCAACAGATAAACTTACATGGGAATTGATTAAAATGGCAATGCACCCAGAGATTTGGTTCCAGCATCTTTATGGCCAAAGTAGATAGATTTCAACTGCATGTTTAAAGATGAAGAAAAAATATAAGCTCTCAGCCCACACTCACACCTCCCATCAATAATAAACAGCAGGACCAGGATGAAGAGCCACACCCACCGCCCTTTCTTCTTCCCTAAGTCCAGGCTGCCCCTTGTGCTCAGAGAGTCTTTTCTGTTCCCCTCTGCTACAGATGAAAGCTGCAAGGACAGGTACTACAACTGCAACGTGGTGGTCCAGGCCAGGCTCTGCGTCTACAACTACTACAAGACCGCCTGCTGCGTCTCCTGCACGCGCGTGGCCAACAGGCACTCGGGCTTCCTGGGGAGCAGATAACACCCCGCTCCACAACCATGGGCAGGTCAGGGAGTCTGTGAGCAGTGGGACTGGCTGACTGCTGCCCCTCCTGGGGGCTCCCTGGCCTGTGGAGCTGCCAGCCAACTTAGTCAGCACCCCACCTTCATAAAGTGTACACACGGTGCCCAGGAGCAAGGCCACAGTTGTCCTTTGAGCATCACCGTGAACTGCTGACCCCTCCTTCAGAAACCTGGCACCTGCGCTCTCTGCAGACCGAGCGGTGGGGACTGCACGCAGCTCTCGGCCGACTCCCGTCCTGGCACTTTCTAAGTCAGCAGTCAGGCCCTGTCTGGGCACTGCCTAGCCCCAGTGCTGCTGGCCTTTCTAATACCAGCGCCCCTTGGAGAATCAGAGGAGACAGTCCCCCGACCCCAGAGCCCCCCTAAGCCTTGCTAGGATGCCTGCATTCCTCTGTTACCTCAGCCCGCCTGTGCCTATTTTTACTCAAAGACATTAGGCTCTTTTCCAGCCTTGTGACACAAATATCTCATGCCAGTTTAGAGCTTTATTGTTTTGCAGGTGTATTCAGAGATATTAGCTCATTAGCGGCTGTGAGCACAGCGCTCCAGAATGGGAGTCAGGGAATGAATCTTGTCCCCATTTTACTGACAAGGAAACTGAGACTGAACTTAGGTAACCTACCTGCCACGTTAGCAGGTAATTGACCCATTCAGTGACAGAGCTGAGTCCTGACCCCAGTCGTCGAGGCCTGTCCAGAAGGCTTAGGTCTGCAGTATGTGGCTTCATTTCAGACCTAGAGGCTGAGAAGTTTCCCATTCAGCAAACAAAGCCCAGACCTTTGAATTCTTTCCTCGGGCCAAAAGTCAAGTCTTTATCTCCTGTGCCCAGTTGTTTCAGGAGTCTGTTTCTTTTTTCCCTTCCCCCACAAAGTCACAGGTCCTGGTGACAGGACTCTGCACAGTTTCTTAAACCCCATCCTTAATGGAACTATGCCATGAGGTAAGAAAGCCATTGGGGTAGAAAGGTGATTGCCTGAAATTCTGATTCCCCTCCCCAGTGGTACATGCCGCCCATGGAATCCTACATGGTGGACCCTTTGGCCTTTTGTCTCCCAGAGCAGATTTCCAGAGCACACAGCTCTGTCCCCTGGGCTCTCACCCCTTCCTCAGCCATCTCTCCTGGGTCCTTCCCCACACATCGCCCAGTGGAAAGTCTAACCAACCTGTCCCAGCAAAAGCCCTATATTTATATTAGAAAGAGTCTCCCTTGGGTCTTTCTGGTTTGTTTTGCAGATGTCTCTGTGTGACTTTGCATCCCTCCCTTCCCCCATGACTCACAGCCCATATTCCCCCTCCCAGATGTGAGCACTAAGATCTATATTAATGCAGCCAGCCTGGGAAAAGGGGCTGTGAACTCCTCCACGATGGCCCCAGCGTCAGGGTCTTCCCTGATTCACTTCACATAACTCTGTAGTTCCTGAGGTCTGTGGCTGGAAGGGGAATGCAGTGCATATGAAAGATGAACTATCTGAAAAATCAGTGAGGATAAAGAAGGGGGGACGTATATATATACGTATATATATATATATATGTATATATATACATATATATATATGTATATTCTTACACCCACTAAGAAAAATAATCAGGCTGAACAAATTGGAAGCGTATAGAAAATTTATCTTATTTAGTACTATGGTCCTGGGCGTATTTCCCTTTCAAAGCAAGCATTTGCTTTGAAATTCATAGCAACTGAGTTTCTCCCGTGAGCCCTTTAACCCAAAAATCTGCTAATTTGGTGATGATTTGCAGCTTTTGGAAGCAGTATCACCAGCTCAGTCTTGCACACTCCGTTAGGTTCCCACTAACCTTGAGCTTTCAGAAATTCTATTTGGCCTTTTTAGGTGACCTCTTTCTGGAGAGCCCCAGCCATCATTTCCCCCAAAGCACCCTATCTCTCCTGATCCTTACGTAACTCATGCAGTAAGCAGCAGGACAGAGGCCCAGATTCCTGGGCCCACCAAGCAAAGACAGACCAGAGAGGCCAAGCATATGGCTGGTTTCCATCCAGCACCCACTCTTTCCCTCTCGCCACTTGCCTTTGCTTCTTGTCCCAAGGGAGGGTTTCCTTTATGCAACTGCTCTCAGATGTTGCTGTACAAGCCAGTTATTTGAAGGATTCTTTGGAGGAAGCTTTCTTTACCTGCTGGAGGACAGAGCAAGATCAATGGGTGGAAGAGCAGAAAGGCTGATTTCAGCTCAGATTGTGGGAAAACCTTCTAGCCATCCAGGCTGCCCAGCGCAACAGAGGTATCGTGTCCTAATGAGTGAGCTCTCCAGCCTAAAAGGGATTTCTCCACCAAGTGGGAGGTGAGCATCCTGGGTCCTTCCAACTCAGGATTCTCACGACTGGGCTGGGGCAGTGACGGCTTTGTCTCTTTGACATCCAGCAGTGTCCTGTGGCTCCTAAATGTCACCTAAAAGTTCTTTAAAGGGACAGTGGTCCTTTCATGAGAACGGCCATCCTGCCAGTTGTGGAATTGGATAGGAGCAAATAAATCAACCCCATGTCTTCAGGGGAAAGAAGTACTGAAACTAGGGGTCTTTTTTCTCTTGCAACAAATAGTTGAGTTAATCTTAGAATTCATTTATGTCTGGAAAGCTTATAAATTGCTAGATGAGGGGTTTTATCAGCTTGACTTGGAAATCCAATTTTTACTAATCTCCTTGTTTCTTATGTCAACGTCTAAATGCCTTTGTTCTTAGCACAACACACATGATAATGTCCTTTAGTATTTTCAGTGACAATGTTCCTTTCTCCCTCCAGAGATGCCTCTTTCTCATTTTCTTGTCCCCTTATCTCATCCTCTCCTTCCCATGACCCACCATCTACTTCTCAGTCCTCTGCCTTGTCCCTTAACTGGCTATGATGCAGAAATGAAATTTACATTTTAATACAGCTTTTTTTTTTCTGTGTACCAGATTGCCTCAGTCCCTGCTCTGAATTTTAAAATTAGATAAATTAAAGCTGTTCTGTGTTTTTCTCACAAAAAAATCAACAAAACTGCAAACAGAAATAGATTGCTTTTTTTTTTACTATCACTTATTAGAAAAGGAAAGTGTGCCCCTTGCAGCCTAGGCAAAAGCCATTCAGTGCAGCCCATTCTCCCCATCTCACGTAGACTCGCCTTTCTCCCCTTAGAAAAGGAACAGCATAAGAAATAGGGCATTTAAAAAAAAAAAAAAAAAAAATCTTGTAAACTTGGCCACTAGATGGCGTCAGTTCATTTCATTAACGGCGTGTACAGTGCCCCCTGCTTGCGAGCTGGTGGGGAAGCCAGATGAGCGGGGCCAGTGCCCGCCCTAGAGGAGCTGCAGTGTGACAGAAGCGCTCAGAACTGTCCCCATCTGTCCCGTTGCCTTAATTCTCTGACCCAGGGCTCTTGGAGTGTGTATCGTTTACTCACCCTCAAAGTGTTTAGCATTCAACACTCTTTCCTTTAAAAAGAATGACCTTCCAGAGGGATGAAAATGAGGGACACTGGCTTCATTTCTTTTTGTCAAGCTGTGTGGCAGGGAGAGAAACCCAGATGTTACTAGTAACTTTCTAAACCAGTGGCTCTCTTTTTCTTTAATATAGCCACTTTAGAATTTGAATATCTGCTTTCTAATGTCAAAGACACAAATATAAGTGGTAAAAAGAAACATGACTTTCCTTGAAACAGGCTGAATAGGCAAACCTGAGGGAACCTCTATCAGCCTGGCAGGTGGAGGCCAACATTTGATCCTGCCATATGAAACACTCTTTACGTGGCTTAGATGGGAAATTAGACACCTTCCTGATGAAATTGGTGGATGCCAAGAAGCTGGAGAGGTAACGCTTGAATGACACGTTCTAGTACCAAAAAAGTCTGGGAGACTAGAACGAAACCTGGGATCTTCAAAATTCACCAGGAAGCAACATAAAGTCCCACCTTTGGATTAAAACAAAAAACAATGCAAGTACAAGGTGGGGGAGATGCAAGAGTTTCAGTGGATGAAGTTCAATGTGAGTCAAGAAAGTGGGATGGAACTACCCCCAAACACACACACACACACACACACACCACACACACACACACACACACACACCACACACCACACACACACACCACACACACACACCACACACACACACCACACACACACCACACACACACACACACACACACACCACACACACACACACCACACGACATTTAGGCTACATAAGGAGAAAATGTTGGTGAACTGTATTTGTGATTGTTGGAAACTTTAAAAAGAATATTGGTAACGTACAACATTCAGATGAGCACGCCCAATCCTGATGAGGGGCGCAGGCTCTGAGAAGCAGTGGAAAGGACTTCATGAGAATGTTTAGCCCGGAGGAGAGCCATCCTAGGACCAGAAGGTAAAAGCTGCAGGGAGACACATTTTACTTCTTACAGAAGAACCACCTTTCTACAAGTGAGAGCCTTCAGAAGGTAGAGCGCTCTGTGGTTGGTGGTGACTGACCCATCCCTGGAGGTCTCAGCAGAGGCTTAATGGCCATTTGTCATGGATGCTGAAGGGAGGATTCGAGCACGCAGCTGGGGCAACAGGACTTTTAAGATTCTCTCCAATCTGGACTTTGGTGACTCTGTAAGTAGAACAGCTTCTAGTGATTCCCCTGGTCTGGGATGGCAAGTACATGTACTTCCCATTTCTACCGTTTTGAACCCAGTGGTGCACCCCTCTCCAGGGCTGAACGTGGCCTCATACCTCGGAGAACCACTAGCCAGTTGGTCAGAGTTGCCCTGTCTGGTCCTGCTTCATAGATGAGTAACCAATTGTCCCGATGGCTAGTTCCCTGCCCAGGGTCACACACCTTGATGGGGGCAGAACCTCGACTAGACTAGCACCCTTTGAATACCATCTCACTTTCTCAACTCACTTTGCTTTCTTGCGCCTTTGCTGGAGCTACGTCATTCTCTCCCCTCTCAACCACACTCCTGGTTCTTTCTGTTCGGTGGGTAACAGTGGGAGACTGCCATCTTGCTGAGGAAAAGTGACCCCCACAGGGTGGGATTCTCTAGCCAGCTTTCTTAGCATCTTCCAGACGTTGAGCCCCTTGCCTCAGTGAGACAGAAGCCATTCCGTTACATAATTTCCACCTTGACCCCCAGATCCCCACCATTCAGTTTGACGGAAGGATATACTTTGTTATAACTTATTATTTTGTCCTTTGTAAATACAAGATGTTTATAGGAAATGTGTATTCTGAACTCTACCGGCAGAATGAGTCACTACACCAAAATAGTTCTATTATTTAGAATATGTTAATTTTAAAGGGACCTAATAGGTATTTATTTACATATTCGATCCACATTTGTGTAAAATTATTTGATACTACTAACCCAGCTTCCCGGAAAGTTGCTGCACGTGATGTCTTATTCCAAGTCCATAGTTACAATTTAGCATACTGATTAGCCAAATTCCAGGGTTTTAAGATCGAATATAAACGACTCTGCTTTTCGACTCATTCAGGGGTTTTTACCCCTTGGATTATACCTGAAACAGGTCTCTCTGGATTGCCACCTTTCCACCTTGAATATCATATTTGCTCATGTAATCTGCCATCTCCTCATCCTCAAACATTTGAAGAAGGAATTGGGAGGGTCTTTTTCATCCCTTCTCTGTCTTGCCTCGTTCCTTAGAATCACCAGCAGGAAGTTGTTCGGGAGGCTGGCTTAGAGCTGTGACGGAGGCAGGGTCCCCTGGCAAGGGCAGGGAGGGGTGTAAGGGAGGTGATGCCTTCACTGCTTTGACCACGCCTCCAGGGCCCCTGCTGGACACTGCTGGGTGGGAGCTCTGGGTTGTCAACTGCACAGCCAGGAGCAAGGAACCCACAGAATACCCCATCCACCCCAAGTCACCCGTACGGTGTCAATTATCGCTTAAAGAGGCGGAGGCGAATTATATGAGTAAATAATCTTTTCAGCAAAAATGACAACTATTTTTGTGTATGACTAATTTATTTTTATTATTGTAAAAATACAATAAACTGGTTTTTAAAAGGCAGCTTTGTTAACACGTCTGTGCTTTCTCGGGCCTTATTCCATTTCTACTCACGTCGCTTCGCACAGCCCTCTAAAAAGAAGAGCTGAGCCCTTTAGAGATCGGTTGGTCTGTGGGACTTTGGCTCTGGGGGCGGTGCCTGGACCCCTAAGAAGACAGGGAGTGCAGGACATCAGTCTGCTGGTACACTGGTCCTCAACCTCGGCTGAGGAGCTTAAGATAAAATATTCAGGCGTGTGCACTTCTACAGGATTTCAGTTTTGTTTTGTTTTGTTTTACAGGATTGCACTTTTACAGGTATTTCTTTAAACCTCCCCCAGGAGGCAGAAAGTGTTGGGACCCACTGTGCTGATTCGTGCGGCTCCATCTCTCAACTGGAATACAACTTCTTCCAACTCTCCTCGGGCTGACTTTACCTTGGGCTCGAGCTTAGCAGAGTGTTTGACAAAATCTTTCGGGTTATCTTGATGCCTAATAACGTGAAATATGACTTAGGTCATAAAGCCCATTGAAAGTCACCCTGGATGAGAGAGTCTCTAGTGGAGTGCCTACAGGCTCTGTCCTTGACGCTGGCTGCCCTGCAGCAGCAGCATCAGTAACTCTCAGAAAATTATTATTATGCCTCAGATGTGCTTCCCATCCCTCCCATCCACCTTTTCTGCCTGGAAAATCTTCATTTACTCTTTTTTTTTAATTGCGGTAAAATTCACTTAACAAAATTCACTGCTTTCATCATTTTAAAGTGTGAACCTGCATCAGCCTCTCCGGCCGCTGGGCTCCACCGCTTCCCCGCTGTCCACTTCAGCTTCCTGCCGCCCTCCCGTCTTCTGCATGCCCGTCCGACGCCCCGTGGCACTAACGTGGTCTCCTCAGGGCGCTCTCCCAGCAGAGCAGTGGCCGCCCGGGCGGCGAGATCCACGGTCTGGCAGAGGAAAACCACCAGCTGCGGAGAGAAGCGCAGGCCGCACGACCCCAGCCGGCACTGGGGGGATGTGGCGATTCTAAACAGAGGATTCACCGGGGCTCAACGTTGGCCCGGCTCCAGCATTGGTTATGAGTCTTCTGTTCGTCGCTTCTGTATTTATGTTGCACATTTGGGGCAAGTACACTCGTTCATAGATTCAGCTACATCCATCTATCCGTCATCTGAAGAAGAAAGGAAAAAACCCCAACATATCTTGGACCAAAAGCATGGTGATTTTCTGTTCACGAGAAAGGAAGTTTTCTGTAAGCTAACTGTTTTACAGGGAACTTAATGAGAATTGATTTTAAGGAATCAATTTTTTTTCTATGGCTCATAAACTTTTTAATTCATAAAAAAGTGTGAAATTCAGTGGTATTTAGTACGGTGTTGTGCAACCATTGCCAGAACATTTTCGTTACCCCCAAATTCCATTTATTCTTCAACACCCAAATCAGATGTCTACTATGTGCCAGACACTGGGCTGAGAACCCTCACACATGCTGTCTTATTAAATCTTCACAGCAGACCTAGGGAGTTGGAATGTTGTCCCCTTCTAGAAACGAGAACGTTGAGACTCAGAGAGGTTTCGTGTCCAGCTAACACTTGGTGGCACTAGGATTCTACTGTCAGCTTCCCCTAGAGGCCAGCCTGTGTCTTTCCCATGTCCATCTCCCAGGGCCTGGCGTGTCACATGGTCTCAGCATATATTAGTTCCAGTCTCTCTCTCCACATTGATTCCAATCAATGACATTAATTGCCCAAGGACTGGATGGGGTGTTTGGCTGTTGATGAGAAAGTGCAGTGCTGTTTAGTTTACCCATGCTCAGCATGACAGTGTGAGCGGAGGCTGCATTTGAAGATGTACAGCTGCCCCTGAGAGGGAGGCCACAAGCCCCTGTTCAGGGGTCAGACCCAAGCTGGACCCCTTGGTCTCCAGTTCTGGGAATGACACATCGTATTTAGTCAGTTGGCCACCAGGAAAGAGCCCAGAGGATCAGGATGGTGACTGGGATGGTGACTGGCATGGGGGAGGGAGGATCTGGAGGGGTAACTGTCTTCAGCCATCTCCAGGCATCTCTAGGGACAGACAACAAGATCTACTTCCAGCAGATCGGAAAGAGAAGGGCCCGCGAGTCAGACTTGGTTCAAAATAACACGTTCCTGTAATAGACTCAGCAACAGTGACCCTCAAATAAAGAGTGATCAACGATATCGCTTATATGCAGAATCTTTAAAAAAAAAAAAAAAGATACAAATGAACTTATTTACACAACAGAAACAGAGACTTAGAGAATGAATTTATGGTCACCAGGGGGGAAGAGTGGGGGGAGGGATAGATTGGGAGTTTGGGATTGACATGTACACACTGCTATGTTTAAAATGGATAACCAACAAGGACCTATGTTAAAAAAAGTTTTTAATTAAATAAATGAGTAAATAAATAAGAGTGATCAGGAACATTTGGGCAGAGAGAAAATTTGAACATGGCCTGTACTTAAGATGACACAACTGAACCCACGTAAAACTTCTTGGATGTGAAGGCGGGGTTTGGTCGGGCAGGAGTACACACTGTGGCAGTCCTAGGGATGAAGGTCACAAGGTCTGCAATTTACTTTCACATGGGTCGTCAGTAAAATTGTGTGTGTGTGCACGTGTATGTGGAGAGAGAGAAAGAATACGTGCAAATAAGGTAAAATGCACTTTGCTGAATATTGGTGAATATATAGTGAAGGGTATGTAGTGTTCGTTATATTATTCTTCTCTGAGGTTTGAGATTTTCTAAAGTAAAAGGTTGGAGGGAATAAAGTACAAAAAGAGGACAGGGAAAGGGAAACTAATATTTTTGGCAGCAGCCAGAGCCAGTCCTGGGTGATGCTTATCATCACTGAGGCTGGGAAAACCTAACTTATTGAGCACCTACTATGTGCCAGGTGTCCTCCAGGTCCTTTTACATCATTTAATCTTCAAGACAACACCTTCAAAGCAAACACTTCATTTTGTGGCCATTTTATGGATAAATAAATTGAGATGCAAAGAGAATACAGCTGGGAAAACCAGGTCTCAGCCAGATGAGGAAATATTTTGATCACACAGGTCCTAAGTGGCTGAGGAAGTCGAACACATATCTGTCTAGTCTCAAAGCGTGTGCTTGTTCCTCTGCGTGGCACTGCCTCTCCACAAGAACTGCATAAATCCATGTGCAAGACAAAAACTCCCTAGAAAACTAACTTAACCCAGAACTTACTCCCTGAGCAAGTAATACACATTACAACAGATGTTGTTGTTGATCACTGTGGCCTCACAAAGATTCTCAGGCTCGAGGTGGAGTGCCCGACAACAGTGGGCAGCACACTTCTATGATATGTACACACACAGACACACACAGAGACACACAAAGACAGACACAGGGACACACAGAGACACACAAAGACAGACACACACAGAGACACAGACACACACAGAGACACACACAGACACACACACAGACGCAGACACACAGACACACACATACCACCGCCTCCAGAGAAAATGCTTCAAGGAGACGCCTCTGCTTCTCTGTCCTGTTTTCATATGTGGATTCCAAAAACGTGTTCTTCAGAGCCCAGAGTCAACCCTGTTTGGAGGCTGGCCAGGTGGGAGGGTGAACAAGAGCAGTGGGACCCAAAGGATCAAATGTGCTTGAACTTGATACCAGTATCAGCCTCTGCCTCGCTCTACCGGTCAAAGCCGATCACAGGGAAGGGAAATCCGCAGATCCCTCCGCCTGCTCCTGCCCTCTGAGCTCTGTCTCCTCAGATCCCAGGCATTCTCCCTCGGGATTCACTGTGCATCACCAGGCTTTGAGCCTCCCCAGTTGTGACAACCATTCATGCACTCGTTCCTGTGCCCGATGCTCTGCTAGCACTGAATACGCAGCAGCACAGCCGGAAGACTGCCCTCGGAGCTTACGTTCTAAACAAGGATGTAGACAACTCGCGTGTGCCCGGCACGTCAGGCGGTGGTGTGTGTTGGGGCAAACAGCCGAGCTGAGAAGGTGGAGGGGCAGCGGTGGAGACGGGCAGGGAGTGCGACTTTAAATAGGATGGTTGGGGCGCGGGAGAAGCCGGCCACGTGGATAGCTGGGTAAGGGTGCCGGGCGAGGAGCTTGCCGGAGTCGAGCCCCCGTGGCGCACACAGGGTGTTCAGGAACACTGGGGGAGCGGGGCAGCGCGGGAGAAGATGAGGTCAGACCCTGGGAGCCAGGGACAGGCTGTGGTTTCACCGTGAGACAGAGGAGAGGCCAGCCGGGGATCTGGGCAGAGGGGTGACAGGATCCGAGTAAGGCCAGCAGCCGGACGTGAGCTGCCATTTCTGCCCTTGCAGGAGCTGTGCCCCAGACACGTATTTTCCTGGGTTAAACCATGGACCTTGGAGGCAAGCTGAGAAATACCATCTCAATGAAAATGTTGATTTATGAAACTCCACTCAGTACAAGGTAACAAGAGCCATAAAGCCCTTCAACTTTCACTTAATAATTCCATGCCTGGGAATTCATCCTGAGGAGACAATTTAATAAAACAGTGTTTTCCCAGGGTGTCTTCAATAACAATTTTTTTCATTTTGTGGTTTCATGTTAATAATAATCTTTTTAAAATTGGCATGAACATGTCATTGTAAGAGCTGTGTGACTGTAATGAGATTGAACATTCACCTATGCTTAGAAATTTTGCTTTATCTTCACCTTTTAAAAATTATAAATAGCACTGCCATTAAAATAATTGTGCATTAAAAAAATATAGGCACGGGACTTCCCTGGTGGCGCAGTGGTTAAGAATCCGCCTGCCAATGCAGGGGACACGGGTTCCAGCCCTGGTCCAGGAAGATCCCACATGCCGCAGAGCCACTAAGCCCGTGTGCCACAACTACTGAGCCTGCACTCTAGAGCCCGCGTGCCACAACTACGGAAGCCCACGTGCCTACAGCTCGTGCTCTGCAACAAGAGAAGCCACTGCAACGAGAAGCCCGCGCACTGCAACGAAGAGTAGCCCCCGCCGCCGCAACTAGAGAAGGCCCGCGTGCAGCAACAGAGACCCAACACAGACCAAAAAAAAAAAAAAAAAAAAATATATATATATATATATATATATAGGCATGAACCTATACACCACGTCTAGTTGACCACCTTACGGCCCAACAAGGCCTTTTGTTTCCAGCCCTGGAACCAGGTAGTGTTACATTAATTGTCATGGGCGAGCTAATACGTGAAGAATGGAGTTGAATTTAGCAATAAAAGGTTTATTCATGCCAAGCAAAGGCCAAATTATGTCACAGACTTGCTGTTTGAAGCAAGGATCCACAGTAGGGTGGGTAGACAAGAGTGGTGAGTTACTTGTCATTAATGCCAAACCCAAAGGAATTTCCACCATGCATCCATGTTGTGAGTGGCAATTGAGTTTCAACAAAGCATTATCTATCTTATCAGTGATGTTGCCTTTAATTGTTTGTTCTGAAATAGTGTTTTTACTTAATTGGCAGTTTCATTTTGATTATGTAGTTCTGTAAGAGTTATAATCCCTCTACTTAGATTCATTTTTGTAACATTGTAATTAAGCATTATTTAATTCAACATCCCAGGTGAGTGAAACAATGATTTTCCTTTACAAGTTGTCTGAAGTTACTCAGGCATGAGCAACATTGGAATAACCAGTAGCCTGAAGCATCAGACAATTGAAAACAGCTGTTCCAATGCTGATCCACTGATCACCTACTCAGGAAGGGCTGGCTGCTCCTTGGCTGCAGGAAGGGCCTGGGAGAGCAATCAAGGTATCATTACCTGCACCAGCCTATTCATGAAGGTCCCCAGGTCACCAGGGCTTCTCTACAAGCAGGCCCTGACAGATTAGCCCAGCAAGGATTCAGGAACATTCCGTTCATTTATGCTGGTGGTGACCACACTCTGGGGGAAACAACAGGCAGGTCTGGGTCCAGAAAGTTCTCCAGCTCCCAGGCTCAGGGCACCCACCCTTTATCATCACTCAGGCTCTCTCCCAGGTGATCTCAGTCATCATCTTCTGGGCAACCTTCTCCCACCACCTTTCCATCTTCCCTGCTCTCCCGGCAGCAAGAAGTCAACATCCCAGTCTCTTTTGCTCCATCCCGACTCTGTGCCGAATGTCTGCTGAGTGAGACGTCCTCTGGGACCACGTATGTTTGCCTAAACCTGTTGCTTTCATACTTTTCTTTTCCTACCCGTAAAGTATAATGTGACAAAGATTCCTAAGTCTTAATTCAGTAAATGTCCTTCCAGCTCAATGCTCCCCAAACCCTGGTAATCTGGGGCTTGAGGCAATCACCTCTAAAATACAGAAAAGCTGAATTCTAGCCAAAAACTAGAGACAGCTCTAACCATTTTGACAAATCATGTCAACAGTTCTTACGGGAATAGGAAATCCTCCTCATAGAAGAACATATCTTTTAATGCCAAGCTGGCATTCACCGATGCAATTCAACGAATTCAACATCCATTCCATTCAGCATCCATTTCCTGGATGTTTATGATATGTCAGGAGCTCCAATATCTCAGAACAAAACCTTGCAGAGACTCTTGTCATGGGGCGAGGGAGATTCCAAAGAGCGATACTCTTTGATGTTTTGGTAGAAAAACAAAGCTATGAGCTAAACACTGGGTAACTTTGCCAGGATTCGTCACTAAAGTAGTTTAAATCTTCTGCTTGAATTTGCAATGGATGCACTTTTTTTCCTTTTCTGTAATTTCTAAGGAGAAATTCCCAAATCTCTTGTGCTAGAATTTGGGGAGTGAAACAGTCCCTGGAGTAGACAAAGCTTTGCTCATGGAGTAACGTCTCTATCTTGTGGCCATTCTGGGTATTGAGAGTAGATTAAGCTCCCTCTAATTCTGTGACTTGGTACAACAATGTATCTTAGATCTGGGAGAGAACTTGGGAGGTCCTCTAATTCAGTCCCCTGCCTTCACACAGGTAAGGTTTCTTGGCTCCATTATTTCTTTACTGTAACAGCCCAGAAAGGGTATGAGGCTCAGCCAAGGTCACACAGCTATTAAGTACCTTACCTGATAGTCCTGCAATCCTCTTGTCACTTTTTTGGAAGAGGAAATCTTTCTTCAAACAAAATCCTACCAATTATAAAACAGACGAACACAGAGGTGTTCTGGTTGAAGTGGAGATGGGCTACCCCTGCCAGCCCCTTTCCTCAGCAAACTTTGAAAACCATTTTCTTATATCAGGGGCTGCTCCCCTGGTAAATCAATGCGGAAACATTACTGTAGAAACCTGGGAAAGATCCCTAGGAAAATATCATTCCATCCTGAGGTAGTTTATTATTTGAACAGTTTTCTACTCTGGCCGGATAAAACCCTTTTATTAAAGCACATTCTCTTTCTGTCACGATTATCCGCAACTCTTCATTTTTACTTCTCCCCAGAGGATCTCTAGGTTGACTTGTTTTCAACTGCAAGTAAATGGTTTAAACCTCCTATGACAGAATCAGTGGCAACACTCGCCGTTGGTGTGAGGGCAGCAGGAACGCATGTGGGCTTGCTCCACACCAGGCCCTGGGCCAGGCTCTGGCACGTGAGCAGAGCAGTCTGAAGCAGTGAGACGATTCTATTGGAGGCAAGAGCAGAGGGCAGGGCATGAAGAAAGAGCAGCAAATTCTGCTGGGGAATGAGGGGAAGCTTTCTTTTACCCATCCAGTCAGTGGTTCAATAAATAATTATCAAGCTCCTTCTCTGTGTCAAGCCTTCCACGAGATGGAGATTTCCGATCTCAGCCATCTCCTGGTTGTAGTTGGAGACAGGCAATAACAATGAAACAAAGAGGTGAATAAGATAGCTTCTGATCATAACTGGGATGTGGGGAGAAATGATAGCGTTCTGACCTGAGGGGAGACATTGGGGCCTAGTCCTGAGGTGTGAGGAAGAGTTGGCTAGGGGAGGAGGATCCTGGGGCAATCTTGTTGGTAAGCCAACAGTGGGTATCCCAAGTGAGAGAAATCAGAGAAAGGAAGATACTGCCGGATATCACTTATACATGGAATCTAAAAAAGCCAAACTTGTAGAAACAGAGAGTAAAATGGTGCTTTCCAGGGGCTTGGGGGTGAAGGAAAAGGGGAGATGTGAGTCAAAGAGTACAAACTTCCAGTTTTTGGGTTTTTTTGCTGGAATCTTTAAAAAGAAAATCCAAGACATTGAGTCACTTCTCTGGTAAATGCCTCAGAATATGACTCTAACAGTTATAAAGATTGTCTTTTATTAAAATAACCACAATACCATTGTCAGAACAAACCAAATTAAAAACAAGTACTTAATGTATTATAAATGTGTGTATTTGTCTGTAAACATTTTATTTTCAAAATAATTTTGGAATTCCAGAATACTTATTTTAAATTTCAATGTCTTATTCGGGAGTCTCATCTTAAGATTGTGTCTGGGAGTAAAATAATAGGTCAACAGACTTAAAAGTTACCATTGGATGGAGATTATTAAATAAATAAGTAAGTAACTAGGTAAATAAATAAATAAAGAATTGACCATTCTTTATGCTGAAGAAACAGTATAACAACATGAGATCAGTGAAATCATAATGCTAATTTATTTTAAAGACTATTTTTCCATTAAATATATTTTAATAAAAAATTATAATTTAATAATTCTATTAAATAACATTATTTACTTTTATTACATAAAAATAATTTCTATTAAATGTATTAAATTTAATTTAATATATATCAACCAGAATGCCTCTGACTTAACAGAATTAGTTTTGGTTTTGTATATAAATACCATAGTGTTTGTAGTATTTTGTACCTTGCTATTTCATCAGAACATTTTTCCATATAATCCCGTTTCAGTGGCAGAAAAAATAGCCATCTGGAAAATGTGTCATAATTTATTAACTGAAAAAAATATATTTAGCTATTTCCAATGCCTGGTGACTGAAAACGACATCTCATATCATGGTGTAGTGTCTGTGTAAGAAACCCCATTAAAGAACAGGTCTTTCAAACCCCTTTGAAGATAACGGAGCAGGAACAGTATATGTGAAGCCCGCATTTTGGGGAGGAGTTTGCTGTACTCAGGGATGCAGGAGACCTTTGTGGCCAGAGCATGGAGCCGGGGCAAGATTGCAGCCCAGGCTGAAAAGATGGGCAGCAGCCAGTCCACGCCAGGACCCTTCCTGTACCATTCACCTCAGGGAGAATTGCTTTGAGTATATGCATTTTCTAAAATGTCATCCTAAAAAACATATCCTCCATCTCTGTGGAGAGGCACTGGATTTTTGCTACCTCAATTTACTGTCTTCACTAAATTAATAAATGGAGCTAATAAAGAATGTCATTAAACACAGCTAACTTCAATAGCAGAAGTCAGGAAGGAAAGTAGGCCAAATGTGACATGTGAACATTGCTCATCTAAACAGTTCAATTTGGGCAATTTCTTTACGCCCACGCAGTTGTCAGGATATTGTCTGGATCTTCAAGAAAAAACTGCAGTAGACACAGGCAGAGCTTGAGTCTTTGTGGCGACATCTCCGTTAGCCGTCCACAGTCACGAGA